GGACTTAAACAATGGTAGATCTGGACCAAACTTGACACAAATATTCCTTCTACCCAAATATTAACACAGATGGAGTTTGGGAGAAATAGACCTTGACATTTGGGAGTTGTAGTTGCTGGGATTTATAGTTCACCTGCAATCCAAGAGCATTCTAAACTCCATCAACAATGGAATTGAACCAAACTTGGCACACAGAACTCTCATGACCAACAGAAAATACTGGGTCTGATGGGCATTGATCTTGAGTTTGGGAGTTGTAGTTCACCCTACATCCAGAGAGATCTGTGGACTCAAACAATGATGGATCTGGACCAAACTTGGCACAAATACTCAATATTCCCAAATGTGAAAACCGGTGGAGTTTGGGGAAAATAGACCTTGACATTTGGGAGTTGTCGTTGTTGGGATTTATAGTTCACCCACAATCAAAAAGCATTCTGAGTCCCACCAACATTGGAACTGAACCAAACTTGGCACGCAGAACTCCCACGACCAACAGGAAATACTGGAAGGGTTTAGTGGGCATTGACCTTGAGTTTGGGAGTTGTAGTTCACTTACATCCAGAGAGCACTGTGGACTCCAACAATGATGGATTTAAAGATCGAACTGCAACAACTCTGGCACAAGCCAGTCAAGGGGGTCCCAGTGGTGTGCGGCGCTGGGTGCAGTGCCTCAAGACCTTGGCCTGCACTTAAAAACAATCAGCACTGACAAAAATCACTACCCTACTTGGATCAGCATGCATTATTCGCTGATACATCACACAGTCCTAGACACTTATTATTATTTATACCTTGCTTTATCTCTCCCGAAGGAGATTCAAAGTGGCTAACATTAAAAGCATTGCAATACTATGCAAATATATGAAAAATATGCAAAAAAATATGCAAAATATTATTTGTAAATTTTTGCAAAAATATTATTTGCAATATTTTTGCAAAATATTACTTGCAATAATATTTTGCACAATATTATTTGCAATATTTTTGCAAAATATTATTTGCAAATTTTTGCAAAGATATTGTTTGCATATTTTTGCAATAGAATATGTGCATATTTTTGCAAAAAATTGTTTGCATAGTTTCGCAAAAATATGCACATACTCTATTGCAAAAGTATGCAAACAATATCTTTGCAAAAATTTGCAATAGAATATTTTTGCAAAAAGAAAGAAAAAAGAAAATATTAGGCTCTATTTCAGATACAAAAACAAAACAAAATTTCCACCATTAGGCAATATAACCCCCCCCCCACCACCACCCCAAAAATGTCATCTCTTTACCTTTCAAGCATTGATTGAATAGATTGCAGATTTGAGCCCCATCTTTGGTCCTGAAAGATCTAGTTCTCTGAAGGACTTCCCCAAAAGACAGATATATATAAGCAGTGCAAAAAAAAATGTTAAAGGAGGGGGGCAGGATGAGCTGACAAAGCAGCGCCCCTTTTCCCATAAGGAAATCCCTGTCTCGTGCTGGCCTCTAGTGGTCAGTAAGGAAACTGCACTCCATTTGTAAACAAACCCAAGAACTAAAAGGACAACTTATAGGATTCTATGATTTTTGGGGTTGTTCCAGAAGCATTCTCTCCTGACGTTTCGCCCACATCTATGGCAGGTTGGGAGGTCTGTTGGAAACTAGGCAAGTGGAGTTTACATCTGTGGAATGATGTCCAGGGTGGGAGAAGGAAATGTTGGAGGAAAGTGTGAATGTTGCCATTGGCCACCTTGATTAGCATTCAATGGCCTTGGAGCTTCAAAGCCTGGCTTCTTCCTGCCTGGGGGAGTCCTGTATTTATCTGTGGGAGAAGGAACTCTTGTCTGTTGGAGGCAAATCTGAATGTTGCCATTGGCCAGCTTGATTAGCGTTGAATGGCCTTGCAGCTTCAAAGCCTGGCTGCTTCCTGCCTGAGGGAATTCTCTCTCTATATATGTGTGTGTGTGTGGAATGATGTTCAGGGTGGGGGAAGGAACTCTTGTCTGTTGGAGGCAAGTCTGAATGTTGCCATTGGCCAGCTTGATTAGCATTGAATGGCCTTGTAGCTTCAAAGCTTGGCTGCTTCCTGCCTGGGGGAATCCTATATTTATCTTTGGGAGAAGGAACTCTTGTCTGCTTGAGGCAAGTGTGTTGCAATTGGGCACCTTGATTAGCATTGAATGGCCTTGCAGCTTCAAAGCCTGGCTGCTTCCTGCCTGAGGGAATCCATATATGTGTGTGTGTGTGGAATGATGTTCAGGGTGGGGGAAGGAACTCTTGTCTGTTGGAGGCAAGTCTGAATGTTGCCATTGGCCAGCTTGATTAGCATTGAATGGCCTTGGAGCTTCAAAGCCTGGCTGCTTCCTGCCTGGGGGAATCCAGATATATATGTGTGTGTGTGTGTGTGTGTGTGTGCAATGATGCTCAGGGTGGGAGAAAGAACTCTTGTCTGTTGGAGGCAAGTGTGAATGTTGCCATTGGCCAGCTTGATTAGCATTGAATGGCCTTGCAGCTTCAAAGCCTGGCTGCTTCCTACCTTGGGGAATCATTCATATATATATATATATATATATATATATATATATATATCTGTGGAAGAATGTCCAGGGTGGAAGAAAGAACTCTTGTCTGTTGGAGGCAAGGGTGAAGGTTGCCATCGGCTACCTTGATAAGCATTGAATTGCCTTGCAGCTTCAAAGCCTGGCTGTTTCCTGCCTTGGGGAGTCCTATATTTATCTGTGGGAGAAGGAACTCTTGTCTGTTGGAGGCAAGTCTGAAGATTGCCATTGGCCAGCTTGCGGAGCATTGAATGGCCTTGCAGCTTCAAAGCCTGGCTTCTTCCTGCCTGGGGGAGTCCTATATTTATCTGTGGGAGAAGGAACTCTTGTCTGTTGGAGGCAAGTGTGTATGTTGCCATTGGCCAGCTTGATTAGCATTGAATGGTCTTGCAGCTTCAAAGCCTGGCTTCTTCCTGCCTGGGGGAAGTCCTAAATTTATCTGTGGAAGAATGTCCAGGGTGGGAGAAACAACTCTTGTCTGTTGGAGGCAAGCGTGAATGTTGCCATTGGCCAGCTTGATTAGCACTGAACAGCTTTGCAGCTTCAAAGCCTGGCTGCTTCCTGCCTGGGAGAATCCTTTGATAGGAAGTGTTAACTAAACGACTCCGGCCCTGTTTACCTCTCCGAACGTATTCTCCCCTATGAACCATCAAGATTATTAAGATCGTCTGGAGAGGCCCTGCTCTCGGTCCCACCGGCCTCGCAAGCACGCCTGGTGGAGACGAGGGCCAGGGCCTTCTCGGTGGTGGCCCCGTGACTCTGGAACTCTCTCCCACCGGAGATCAGAACCGCCCCTTCTATCCTGACATTTAGGAAACAGGTGAAGACGTGGTTATGGAGACAGGCTTTGGATGAGTGAGACAACACCCTAAGACATGGACGGAAGATGATGGATAATTGTTTTTTAGTATGACAGCTGACCCCTGTAGTTTTGGATATATTTGTTTCCCCACTGTTCCTATGTCTCAGCACTGGAAAAATCCGGATTATGGCAGGCTCGCCAAACATCAATGTTTATTGCAACCACTCAGTGACAATAGCCAGACTGGCTCACAGGCCCTTAGGACTTGCTGGTCACTTGGACGTTTCCTAATCTTCATAATCCACTCAAGAATGCATTGTTTCCTCTCGTCCCGCCTCCCTCTCTCCTGATTTGTCAGGACACCGAGGCGACAGAAGCCCAGTGATTGGCCCAGGTGCTCAGGAGAAGGTGCTATCTTTATGTTTTATATTTTGTTCTATTAAAACAGCCAGCAAGTTTGATAAAACTGGGAGTTTGGTTCATCTCTACCTAAATAAGGCAGAGCCCTGGCAACACGACAGAAGACAAGTGGACAAATGTCAGCGTGCTGGAAGAAGCAAAGACCACTAGCATTGAATCGATGGTCCTCCGCCATCAACTTCGCTGGACCGGCCACATTGTCCGGATGCCTGACCACCATCTCCCAAAGCAGTTGCTCTACTCCGAACTCAAGAACGGAAAACGGAATGTGGGAGGACAGGAAAAGAGATTGAAAGATGGGCTCAAAGCCAAGCTTAAAAACTCTGGCATAGACACTGAGAACTGGGAAGTGCTCCAGTTGGAGGTCAGCTGTGACCAGCAGTGCTGCAGAATTTGAAGAGGCACGAATGGAGGGTGAACGAGAGAAACGTGACAAGAGGAAGGCGTGTCAATATGCCCAAATGTGAATGCTAGTGGGGTTGGGGGAAGGGGAGGGAGGATTGATTTTGTAATTTGGGAGTTGTCGTTGCTGGGATTTATAGTTCACCTACAATCAAAGAGTATTCTGAACTCCACCAATGATGGAATTGAAGCAATCTTGCCACACAGAACTCCCATGACCAACATAAAACACTGGAAGGGTTTGGTGGGCATTGACTTTGAGTTTGGGAGTTGTAGTTCACCTATATCCAGAGGAGCACTGTGGATTCATGCAATGATGGATCCGGACCAAACTTGGCATGAATACTCAGTATGCCCAAATGTGAACACTGGTAGAGTCTGGGGAAAATAGACCTTGACATTTGGGAGTTGTGGTTGTTGGGATTTATAGTTCACCTATATTCAGAAAGCATTCTGAACTCCACCAGTGATGGATTTAAAATGAACTTGGCACAAAGAACTCCCATGACCAACAGAATACACTGGAAGGGTTTTGTGGTCATTAACCTTGAGTTTGGGAGTTGTAGTTCACCTATACGCAGAGGAGCGCTGTGGATTCATGCAATGATGGATCTGGACCAAACTTGGCACGAATACTCAGTATGCCCAAATGTGAACACTGGTAGAGTCTGGGGAAAATAGACCTTGACATTTGGGAGTTGTAGTTGTTGGGATTTATAGTTCACCTATAATCTAAAAGCATTCTGAACACTGGAAGGGTTTTGTGGGCACTGACCTTGAGTTTGGGAGTTGTAGTTCACCTATATCCAGAGGAGCGTTGTGGATTCATGCAATGATGGATCTGCACCAAGCTTGGCACGAATACTCAATATGCCCAAATGTGAACACTGGTGGACTCTGGGGAAAATAGACCTTGACATTTGGGAGTTGTAGTTGTTGGGATTTATAGTTCACCTACAATCAAAGAGCATTCTGGACTCCACCAAGGATGGAATTGAAGCAATCTTGCCACACAGAACTCCCATGACCAACAGAAGACACTGGAAGGGTTTTGTGGTCATTAACCTTGAGTTTGGGAGTTGTAGTTCACCTATACGCAGAGGAGCGCTGTGGATTCATGCAATGATGGATCTGGACCAAACTTGGCACGAATACTGAGTATGCCCAAATGTGAACACTGGTAGAGTCTGGGGAAAATAGACCTTGACATTTGGGAGTTGTGGTTGTTGGGATTTATAGTTCACCTACAATCAAAGAGCATTCTGAACTCGACCAACAATAGAATTGGGTCAAACTTCCCACACAGAATCCCAATGACCACCAGAAAATACTATGTTTTCTGGTGGTCTGGTGACCCCGTTCACACCCCCTCATGACCCCCTCAGGGGTCCCGTCCTTTCAGCCCGGATCTTGCCCGCAAAGCATTGACCGAATCCCTCCCTGCTGTAAAGCTTGAATCCCAGGTGCCTTCAAGAAGAAGGGGAGGGGGGGTCGATGTAAGCGCCGGACGCCTATCCACAGAGGAGGATTTGGCTGGGTCAGGAATCGAGACATGTTTTTATTTGTTGTTGTTTCGCTTATTAACCACAGCTTGGTCGGGAGTGTACGTATTAGGCTTGGGCGATCAAGAAAAAAATTGGTTCTAAACTCGTTTCGTTTCTAGGGTGCGCTAGCGTTTCGAAATTCTGAGGACTTCCGAAATTTAAGATTTTGAAATTTTGAAATTTCGTAAATTACGAATCAATTCGTTAATGGTGGACGCGATTGCGCAATATGCTAAAAAAAACTCCAAATGGGACAGGGGGAACTTCTGAAGCTTCCCTCTCCCTCTGTTGTTGACTGTTGGTGTGATAAAACAAACGACAACTATATTATATTATATTATATTATATTATTATATTATATTATATTATATTATATTATATTATTATATTTATTATATTATATTATATTATATTATATTATATTATATTGTTGTATATTATATTATAATATTATTATATTATATTATTATTATTATTATTATTATTATTATATTATTATTATTATTATAAGAGGGGCCGACCAAGGGCAAGATGGATGGATGGCATCCTTGAAGTGACTGGCTTGACTCTGAAGGAGCTGGGGGTGGTGACGGCCAACAGGGAGCTCTGGCGTGGGCTGGTCCATGAGGTCACAAAGAGTCGGAGACGACTGAACGAATGAACAACAACAACATAATATATTATATTATATTATAATATATTATATATATTATATTATAATATTATAATATTATATTATTGTATATTATATTATATTATTATAGTATTATTATATTATATATTATTATTATAATATTATTATTGTATATTATATTATTATATTATTATATTATTATTATATTATATATTATTATTATTATAATATTATTATTGTATATTATATTATATTATTATATTATTATTATATTATAATATATTATATTATAATGTAATATAATATAATATAGTAATATAATATATAATATAATAATATAATATAATATACGATGCAATGCACCAGACATACGAAAATAATTACGAAATAATTACGAAAATTGGAAAAAATTGTTTCGATTCTTAATAGAATAGAATATAATAATACTATAGTAATATAATATATTTATTTCAATTATAATATAATAGAATATAATAATATTATAGTAATATAATATATAATATAATAATATAATATACAATACTATAATATAATAGTATTATAATAATATAATGTAATATAATATAATATCTAATGTATATTATATTATTATAATATTATTATATTCTATTATATTATAATTGAATATAATAATATTATAGTAATATAATATATAATATAATAATATAATATACAATACTATAATATAATAGTATTATAATAATATAATGTAATATAATATAATATCTAATGTATATTATATTATTATAATATTATTATATTATATTATTATATTATATATTATATTATAATTGTATATTATAAAATATAATTACGAAATTACGAAAATAATCACGAAAATTGTAAAAATTGTTTCGATTCTTGATTACTCCTCACACTACTCCTGCATGGCTCGATACTGGATCGTAAGCTAATTCAAATACGAATCAATAACGAATAACGAAATTAACGAACTGGATCGCCCAAGCCTAGTACGTATCCCCTGCGGATATTGTGGGGATGGATTTTTTTCGCTGTAGTTGTCACTGTAAAGTTGCACGTTGTGGGTCAGATGTGTGTACGTCCGCCATTTTTATTTATTATTAATTTTTTTTCCTGTTTTATTGGTCAATGCGGAAGCCAACAAATAAATTAACTCTTTAATGAAAGGCTGGTGGGACCTGGCGGCCCTTTGGCAAGAGAGGGAGGGACGTGTCGCTCGAATCCTAGAGTTGGAAGGGACCCACGGAGGTCATCTAGTCCATCCCTTTGCCACACCCGAAACGGACCACCGAGGCAGTCCTATTCCTCGCCCCAATGTTTCGGTGGGATTTCTTTCCTTGCCATTCCGAATTCATCGTTTCGAATGTTGTCAAGTTCGTTTCTGGAGCTCAAGCAACCGCAACCCCGCGATCTGCCCCTTCCTTTAAAATATTACCGCCGTTAGCTTAGCTTAAAAACCGAAAAAGTAAACCGAAAGGCCTCTAAAAGCGTAAAGCAGGGTTCCTGAGTTCAGTGAGAGACAAACCGGGGGAAAGGGACACGTTGTCGGATCGGAAGGAGCGAGGTTTCTTCGTTCCCTGAGACCGACGCAATGGGGTTGGATTCCTTGGTGCTTCCTTCCACTCCTTCTTTGCATCCAACGCTCCTTCTCGCTTTCTTTCGTGACGAGTTTCGGTGAGCTCACTCTGTGGGTCAAACCCATCGGCCCGGCTTCCGTTCCGGGGTCTCGTCATGTGGAGCTGGTGCTTCCCGCGCAAGGAGAGCGCCTCGGATCCGGAACCTGTCACGAGAAGAGCATTTGCAAGCTTTGGTTACCGCAGGATTGGAATTGACTTCACTCTAGGTCAGGGTTCCCCATACGTTTTGAACAGAGTGCCGGGTCACAGTCCCGCCAACTGTTGGAGGGCCGGATTATAATTTGAAAAAAAAAATATTTATTTATTTATTTATTGCATTTGTTGACCGCCGCTCTCAGCCCTAGGGCGACTCGCGGCGGTGTACAACATATAAAAACAATTTACAATAAAGCACAAGAAAAATCAACATCACAATAATACACTCTAATCTAATTTACACTAAGCTAATCCGCATCGTCACAACATAGAATCATAACCAATCTCAAAGTCCATATTCCGTTCCAATTGTCCTTACCAGCTGATATAGCACTCAGTTAAATGCCTTCTCGAATAGCCAGGTCTTTAGGCTCTTACGGAAAGCCATAAGGGAGGGCGCCTGTCTGATGTCAGCAGGGAGGGTGTTCCACAGCCGGGGGGCCACCACCGAGAAGGCCCTCTCTCTCGTCCCCGCCAGACGTGCCTGTGAGGCAGGCGGGATCGAGAGAAGGGCCTCCCCAGATGATCTCAAGGCCCTCGTGGGCTCATAGGCCGAGATGCGGTCCGAAAGGTATTTTGGGCCGGAACCGTTTAGGGCTTTGTAGGCATAACACCAGCACCTTAAATTGGGCCCGGTAGCAGATCGGCAGCCAGTGGAGCTGGGACAACAAGGGCGTTGTGTGCTCCCTGCGTCCCGCTCCCGTTAGTAACATGGCTGCCGCGCGCTGGACTAGCTGAAGCTTCCGGGCCGTCTTCAAGGGCAGCCCCACGTAGAGAGCGTTGCAGTAGTCAAGGCGGGATGTGACCAGAGCGTGTACCACCGTGGCCAAGTCAGACTTCCCAAGATACGGGCGCAGCTGGCGCACGAGCCGAAGCTGTGCAAATGCTCCCCTGGTCACCCCTGAAACCTGGGGATCCAGGCTCAAAGATGAATCCAGGGTCACACCCAAGCTGCGAACCTGCGCCTTCAAGGGGAGTGCGACCCCGTCCAGCACAGGCTGTAACCCTATACCCTGTTCGGCCTTGCGACTGACCAGGAGTACCTCTGTCTTGTCTGGATTTTATTTTATTTTATTTCCTTATATTGTACCAGGCACCGGTTCAGGACCTCGACACCCTCCTTAGTAGCAGGTGGAAAGGAGTGACAGAGTTGGACATCATCTGCGTACAGATGACACCGCACCCCGAAACTCCGGATGATCTCACCCAGCGGCTTCATGTAGATATTAAACAGCATGGGGGACAGTATAGAACCCTGTGGAACCCCACAGGTCAAAGGCTGTGGTGTTGAACAGGAGTCCCCCAATAACACCTTCTGGGTACGACCCTCCAGAAATGACTGGAGCCACTGCAGAGCAGTGCCCCCAAGACCCATTTCCGCAAGGCGCCCCAGAAGGATACCGTGGTCGACGGTATCGAAGGCCGCTGAGAGGTCCAGGAGCACCAACAGGGACACACTCCCCCTGTCTAGCTCCCGGCGCAGATCATCCACTAAGGCGACCAAGACCGTCTCGGTTCCATGTCCCGGTCTGAAACCAGACTGTGCCGGATCCAGAATATCCGTGTCTCTCAAGAATACCTGGAGTTGTGAGGCCACCACGCTTTCCATGACTTTGCCCAAAAAGGGGAGATTGGAAACAGGCCGAAAGTTGTCGAATTTAGTGGGGTCCAGTGATGGTTTCTTCAACAGCGGTTTTATAATAGCCTGTTTTAAGCACGCTGGAATCTCGCCTTCCCGAAGGGAGGCATTCACCACCACCTTCACCCACTCAGCCAATCCCCCTCTGGCCTCCTTTAGAAGCCAGGATGGGCAGGGGTCTAGGATGGACGTGGTGGGCCTCATTCCTCCAAGTATCTTGTCCACATCCTCGGGCTTCACAAACTGAAAATAATCCATCAAAATAGGACAAGCAGGTGCTCGTGTCACATCCACAGAGACTGCATTTAACGTGGTGTCCAGCTCAGAACGGATCAAAGCGACTTTGTCTGCAAAGAACCGAGCAAATGCTTCACAGCGCGTGGCCGAATTGTCAGGGCTCCCGCCTGAGGTGGCGGGAGTTAAAAGGCCTCTGACAATCCGAAACAGCTCCGCTGGACGGTTCTTGAATGAATTCCTATGCACTTTGCACATATATTATTTGCAGTGCAAAACACCCCCCCCCCCCCCCCCCCCCCCCGCCCAAATCAAAAACCAAAAACCCACACTTGTATATAAATAGAAATGTCATGTTCGTTTGTGGGATTAACAGAACTCAAAAACCACTGGATGAATTGACACCAATTTTGGACACAAGACTCCTAACAACCCAATGTATGTCCTTCACTCAAAAAATTGATTTTGTCATTTGGGAGTTGTAGTTGCTGGAATTTATAGTTCAACTACAATCAAAGAGTATCCTGAACCCCATCAATGATGGAATTCAACCCAACTTGGCTCACAGTTCTCCCATGGCCAACAGAAAATACTGGAAGGGTTGCTGTGGCCCACATGGGGGTTCTGTGTGGCCCAATTCTATCATTGGTGGGGTTTGGAATGCTCTTTGATTGTAGGTGAACTACAAATCCCAGCAACTACAACTCCCAAATGTCAAGATTCTATTTTCCCCAAACTCCACCAGTGTTCACATTTGGGCATATTGAGTGTTCGTGTAGAGTTTGGTCCACATCCATAATTGTTTGAGTCCACAGTGATCTCTAGATGTAGGTGAACTACAACTCCAAAACCAAAGGACACTGCCCACCAAACCCTTCCAGTATTTTCTGTTGGTCATGGGAGTTCTTTGTGCCAAGTTTGGCCCAATTCTATCGTTGGTGGGGTTCAGAATGCTCTGTGATTGTAGGTGAACTATAAATCTCAGCAACTACAACTCCCAAATGACTAAATCGATTTTTTTTGAGTGCAGGACATACATTGGGTTGTTAACGCCTCTCAGCATCTTAACACCTCTCAGCAAGAGATTTTCCCAGGCTCAGCCAGGCCTTCAAATGCTAATGAAGGTGGTCAGTTGAAACATTCACACCTAGCTCCAGCAGAGAAGAGCTCGTTGCCCCACCCCAGCCATTCCACAGATATAGAAACCCATTGTCCTAATTCCAACAGACCTCACTACCTCTGAGGATACTTGCCATAGATGCAGGCGAAATGTCAGGAGAAATGCCTCTAGAACATGGCCCTTATAGCCCGGAAAAACCCACAAGAACTGGAAGGGTTTGGTGGGCAGTGTCCTTTGGTTTTGGAGTTGTAGTTCACCTGCCTCCATAAATCACTGTGGACTCAATGATAGATCTGGACCAAACTTGGCACCGATACTCAATATGTCCAAATGTGAACACTCGTGGCATTTGGGGGTTGTATTTGCTGGGATTTATAGTTCAATCAAAGAGCATTCTGAACTCCACCAATGATGGAATTGAACCCGACTTGGTACACAGAACTCCCATGAACAACAGAAAATACTGGGTTTGATACATTGCGTGTGCAAAGTTGTATTAAAAGAGCAGAGGAAAACACATGCAAAGTTTGAATTTTAAAATATAGAAAGATGTAAAAGGTGAAAAACAAGGTCTTATTAATATATATCAAACACTGATATTTAAATGGCTGAAGGAATTAATTGGATGCAAAGGGGAAACTGGATCATGGTCTGTGCACACGTTCTTTGTATTTTTAAAGGTAAGCATTTCTCTACTTGATCAGCATCAGGACAGATCTGTTGACATCCCATGAAAGCCATTATGAAAAGTCAAATGCAAACCAATAATTGTAAAAACCTGAGTGCCGCTCCGTCAATTGCGGACACTAGGCTTGGGTAACCACGGAAAAATTTGGTTCGTTTTTAGGGGGCCCTTGCGTTTCGTTTTTTTTAAAAGAATTCCGAAATTTTACTTTAAAAAATTTCGAAAGATACGAAATTTCGTAAAATTACGAATCGATTCGTTAATGGCGGACGCGATTGCGCCAGCTTGTGCGCCAGCTGCGCCCGTACCTTGGGAAGTCTGACTTGGCCACGGTAGTCCACGCTCTGGTTACATCCCGTTTAGACTACTGCAACGCTCTCTACGTGGGGCTGCCTTTGAAGACAGCTCGGAAGCTCCAACTAGTCCAACGCTCAGCAGCCATGATTTTAACAGGAGCGGAGCGCAGGGAGCATACAACCCCCCTGTTGCGCCAACTCCACTGGCTACCGATCTGCTACCGGGCTGAATTCAAAGTGCTGGCGTTGGCCTTTAAAGCCCTAAACGGTTCCGGCCCAAGCTACCTATCTGACCGCATCTCTGCCTATGAACCCACCAGTTTGAGATCTTCCGGGGAGACCCTGCTCTCGATCCCGCCTGCTTCTCAAGCTCGGCTGGCGGGGACGAGAGATAGGGCCTTCTCGGTGGTGGCTCCTCGGCTGTGGAACGCCCTTCCTACGGACATTAGACTAGCACCATCTCTAATGGTATTCCGCAAAAAGGTGAAGACCTGGATGTTTGAGCAGGCGTTTGAGTAATTTAGTGCAATCTGGTAATGGAACATAGGAATGGAACAATGGACGACGAACCTGGACTACGCTTGGATGATGAGAAGATTGGGTACGGTTGTTTTTTGTAATAATTGTGCATTGTAACTGCTTATTGGTAATTTATGGATAATGTGTTAAGTCAATTGTTATATGTTGTATGGAACCACTGCTGTTTCTACTGTTTCTACTGTTTGTGAACCGCTGTGAGTCGCCTTCGGGCTTGAGATACAGCCGTATAGAAGCAAAGTAAGTAAGTAAATAAATAATAAATATGCTAAAAGAACCCTCCAAATGGGACAGGGGGAACTTCTGAAGCTTCCCTCTCCCTCTGTTGTTGACTGTTGGTGTGATAAAACAAACAACTATATTATATTATATTATATTATATTATATTATATTATATTATATTATATTATATTATATTATGTTACATTATATTATATTATATTATATTATGTTACATTATATTATATTATATTATATTATATTATATTATATTATATTATTATTATGTTATATTATTATGTTATATTATATTATTATAATATGTGTTGAGACTTAGAGCACAGATAATGTCTTTCACAGCAATTGAAATGCTAATAATAGTCTTTAATGAGGTACAACAAAAGAGGCACTTAACAGCAGTGAAAATTAGCAACTCAAAGGAACCTTCAGGCAGGTAAACAAACAGTCAGTAATCTGGATCTTCCAGGCTTGAGCTCAGCCGAAAAGGAAACAGAAGTAAACAGAAGCGTATTGCAAACGCTAACTCAAAATAGTCTCTTAATGCAGCAGAGTTCAGAAACAAGGTCCAATAAGCAGAGGTGTGGTCCAAGGTGATTCCAGGGTCGAAAGCACGATGAAGACACTCACGAAAGATACGGTGTAGATACGGTGCCAGGACGCTGAGTCTCAACAATATGATTATATTATATTGTTGTATATTATATTATAATATGATTATATTATATTATTGTATATTATATTATATTATATATATAATATTATATTATATATTATTCTATTCTATTATTATAATATGTTTATATTATATTATTGTATATTATATTATAATATATATTATATTATATTATATTATATATATTACATTATATTATAATATAATACATATATTATAATATACAATTAATATAATATAATAATATAATTAATAAATATAATATATATAATATTATATATATTATAATAATATATTATATATATTAATATAAATAATATAATTATAATATTATATATTATTCTATTCTATTATTATAATATGATTATATTATATTATTGTATATTATATTATAATATATATTATATTATATTATATTATATATATTACATTATATTATAATATAATACATATATTATATTATAATATACAATTATTATACAATTATAATATAATATAATAATATAATATAATATATACAATACTATAATATAATAGTATTATAATAATATAATATAATATAATATAATATAATATAATATAATATATAATTATTATATTATTATAATATTATTATATTATATATTATATTATATCTATTCTATTATTATAATATGTTTATATTATATTATTGTATATTATATTATAATATATATTATATTATATTATATTATATATATTACATTATATTATAATATATTACATATATTATATTATAATATACAATTATAATATAATATAATAATATAGTAATATAATATATAATATAATATACAATACTATAAGATAACAGTATTATAATAATATAATGTAATATAATATAATATATAATGAATATTATATTATTATAATATTATTATATATTATATTATAATTGTATATTATAAAATATAATTACGAAAATAATTACGAAAATTGGAAAAATTGTTTCGATTCTTAATTACTCCTCACACTCGATATTGGATCGTAACCTAATTTAAATATGAATTAATAACGAATTACGAAATTAACGAACTGGATCGCCCAAGCCTACTAGAAACTCGTAGAAGCGGGTTGTTGAAGGCTTTCATGGCCAGAATCACTGGGTTGCTGTGAGTGTTCCGGGCTGTATGGCCGTGTTCCAGAACCATTATCTGGAACGTGAGAGAATGCTTCTGAAAGATGGCCATATATTTATTTATTTACGGCATTTCTCACCCTGAAGGGGACTCAGAGTGGCTTACAAGATATATATACATGCAATATATTATTAGCATAATACAATATCAGTATTATATATTACTATACCATTATATTGTAATATTATTCAAGTTTTGGTTCCATGCTCCGTTTCTGCCCAGTTACCTCTGTCCGTGCGCCGACGCCGAAAAAGAGCCCCTGTGGAGATGCGAAGGAGTCGTCTGACATAGAGCTGCCTGATTTGTGCTTTACTGCGGGGACAAAAAGTCAGAGACTGGCCATCAGCTTGAAGACGGTTGGAGAATCCATATTATTTATTTATTTAATTAATTACGAAATTGATACGCCGCCCTTCTCACCCCGAAGGGGACTCAGAGCGGCTTACGAGGTCAATATTACATACAATATATTATATTATTAGCATAGTACAATATCAGTATTGTACTATACCATTATATTGTAATATTATTAGTAATATTACATGCAATATAAATATATAATTATAATATCATATTATTAGTAGTATTATTATATTGCATTACATTATACATATCATTCCTTCCCCACCAAGCTCTGGCCCGTGAACCCAATTTGGCCATTGGAAATTCTCCCATCCGGCCCAGGGGCTTCTCCCATCCTCAGCTCTTTAACTGCATGACGTTCTTGCATGGAGCCCATTTCATGGAATCACTGAGTTGGAAGAGACCCCAAAGCTCATCCAATCCTGTCTGCTAGACAGGAAAACACAATCTAACAAAGATCCGCATAGTTAAAGCAATGATATTCCCTGTAGGATGCAAAAGCTGGACTATAAGGAAGACTGAGCAAAGGTAGATAGATGCTTTTGAACTGTGGTGTTGAAGGAAAATTCTGAGAGTGCCTTGGACCACGAGAAGATCAGAGCAGTCCATCCTCCAGGAAATAATAATAATAATAATAATAATAATAATAATAATAATCTTTATTTATAACCCACCACCATCTCCCCAAAGGGGACTCGGAGTAGCTAACATGAGGCCAAGCCCAAATAATACAACATAAACACAGAATGACAAGGAAATACATCATATCAAAATATTTATTTGTTTATTTATTTATTTACGGCATTTATATGCCGCCCTTCTCACCCCAAAGGGGACTCAGAGCGGCTTACAAGATATATTAAATTATTAGCATAGTACTTCTTAATCAAAGAATCAGTCCTCCATGTGGTTCTATCACTACAGGATTCCTGTTGGATTTCTACTTCCACACAGGATCTACTACCTCTGTAGTTCACAACTACAGATCAGTTCCTTGATCCTCTCACTGGAGAATCCTCTCCTGTAACTCTCCGGCTACAGACTGCTGATTCACAGATCAGTCCTCTTCTGTAACTCTCCGGCTACAGACTGACAACTTTCAAAAAGCTGCGCTGCCAAGTGGCAGTTGGCAGTTGGCTCCGCCCCCGTTGCTATGCCAGTTCAGCTCGAGGCAAGCCAAGCCAGTTACCATCCCTAATAAGTCCTCTTCTGTAACTCTCCGGCTACAGACTACTGATTCACAGATCAGTCCTCTTCTGTAACTCTCCGGCTACAGACTGAAAACTTTCAAAAAGCTGCGCTGCCAAGTGGCAGTTGGCAGTTGGCTCCGCCCCCGTTGCTATGCCAACTCAGCTCAAGGCAAGCCAAGCCAATTACCATCCCTAATAAGTCCTCTTCTGTAACTCTCCGGCTACAGACTACTAATTCACAGATCAGTCCTCTTCTGTAACTCTCTGGCTACAGACTGACAACTTTCAAAAAGCTGCGCTGCCAAGTGGCAGTTGGCAGTTGGCTCCGCCCCCGTTGCTATGCCAATTCAGCTCAAGGCAAGCCAAGCCAGTTACCATCCCTAATAAGTCCTCTTCTGTAACTCTCCGGCTACAGACTACTGATTCACAGATCAGTCCTCTTCTGTAACTCTCTGGCTACAGACTGACAACTTTCAAAAAGCTGCGCTGCCAAGTGGCAGTTGGCAGTTGGCTCCGCCCCCGTTGCTATGCCAATTCAGCTCAAGGCAAGCCAAGCCAGTTACCATCCCTAATAAGTCCTCTTCTGTAACTCTCCGGCTACAGACTACTGATTCACAGATCAGTCCTCTTCTGTAACTCTCTGGCTACAGACTGACAACTTTCAAAAAGCTGCGCTGCCAAGTGGCAGTTGGCAGTTGGCTCCGCCCCCGTTGCTATGCCAATTCAGCTCAAGGCAAGCCAAGCCAGTTACCATCCCTAATAAGTCCTCTTCTGTAACTCTCCGGCTACAGACTACTGATTCACAGATCAGTCCTCTTCTGTAACTCTCTGGCTACAGACTGACAACTTTCAAAAAGCTGCGCTGCCAAGTGGCAGTTGGCAGTTGGCTCCGCCCCCGTTGCTATGCCAGTTCAGCTCAAGGCAAGCCAAGCCAGTTACCATCCCTAATAAGTCCTCTTCTGTAACTCTCCGGCTACAGACTACTGATTCACAGATCAGTCCTCTTCTGTAACTCTCCGGCTACAGACTGACAACTTTCAAAAAGCTGCGCTGCCAAGTGGCAGTTGGCAGTTGGCTCCGCCCCCGTTGCTATGCCAATTCAGCTCAAGGCAAGCCAAGCCAGTTACCATCCCTAATAAGTCCTCTTCTGTAACTCTCCGGCTACAGACTACTGATTCACAGATCAGTCCTCTTCTGTAACTCTCTGGCTACAGACTGACAACTTTCAAAAAGCTGCGCTGCCAAGTGGCAGTTGGCAGTTGGCTCCGCCCCCGTTGCTATGCCAGTTCAGCTCAAGGCAAGCCAAGCCAGTTACCATCCCTAATAAGTCCTCTTCTGTAACTCTCCGGCTACAGACTACTGATTCACAGATCAGTCCTCTTCTGTAACTCTCTGGCTACAGACTGACAACTTTCAAAAAGCTGCGCTGCCAAGTGGCAGTTGGCAGTTGGCTCCGCCCCCGTTGCTATGCCAGTTCAGCTCAAGGCAAGCCAAGCCAGTTACCATCCCTAATAAGTCCTCTTCTGTAACTCTCCGGCTACAGACTACTGATTCACAGATCAGTCCTCTTCTGTAACTCTCCGGCTACAGACTGACAACTTTCAAAAAGCTGCGCTGCCAAGTGGCAGTTGGCAGTTGGCTCCGCCCCCGTTGCTATGCCAGTTCAGCTCAAGGCAAGCCAAGCCAGTTACCATCCCTAATAAAATACAATTCTACATACTTAGCATTACTAACGATTGTCTAAACAATACATGACTATAGGAATAAAAATACATATCATCACAAAAATGAACAATATAAAATAAAGCCTGACTGCTCACTGGAGGGAAGGATATTTAGAGGCCAAGATGAAGTCCTTTGGCCACATCACAAGAAGACAGGAAAGCTTGGAGAAAAGAATGATGCTGGGGAAAATGGAAGGAAAAAGGAAGAGGGGGTGACCAAGGACAAGATGGATGGATGGCTTGACTCTGAAGGAGTTGGGGGTGGTGATGGTCGAGAGGGAGCTCTGGCGTGGACTGGCCCATGAGGTCACGAGGAGTTGGAAGCGACTGAACGAAGAAATAACAACAAACCTTTCCCGACAGATGACCACCCACCCTCTGCTTGAAAACTCCAGAGAATGAGATTCCACCACATCTTTGGAGTACTTACGAGAAGAAGCGGATGAAGAAAAAGAAGATCCGCTCCTCTGGACAATGCTGTTGCTGCCCGAAGACAAGGGCCAGCGAGTCTCCGAAAGGCTGCTGCAACGCATGCGCACTTGGGCCTCCTGCTTCTTCTCTTCCTGGGCCTGTAAATGAATATCCCATTGGGGGATATGGGAAAATGACAGACAGGATGAGTTTGGGGGTGGGTGGAAGACTATAAATTCTATGGACGACGACTTCCTTCCATCTAGACACTATCTTCCTCTTAATGCAACCTAGAACCACATTGGTCCTTTTGGCTACAGCATCACAACATTGGCTCATGTTCATCTTATGGTCCACTAAGTCTCCTTGATTCTTGTAAAGCCAGATGTCTCCAGTCCTACATTTGTGCGAACCCTGGTGTGACAATGTGTAAGTTTTATTCCTTTGGTTATGTGTAGTTTGGACAGTGGTTTAGGGATGGTAAGTATGGGAGATTATGTTTTGTTGGAGATGGTGGCTTGGCATTAGCTGAGTTGCCATAGCAACAGGGGCAGAGCCAACTGCCTCTTCAGGAGGCAGCTGTTTTAAAAAGTCAGTCAGTAAGCCGGTGAGCTACTGAGAGGACTGAGTCTCTGGGTGGAGATTCAGGGAATGTGTCTGTAGCCGGTGTGCTATAGGAAAGACTGAATCTCAGGGTGGAGATTCAGGGAATCAATTGGTGACCAAAGTGGTTGCAGAGAAGGACCTGGTAGTGATAGAACTACAGGGGGTTGTTGATTCTAAATTAAGAATCAAGATTTGGCTGGGTTTGAGCCTGCTGTGCCTGCTGTGAAATGTTTTGAAGTCTGTGCCTGAGATTACTCATGAAACCTTACCAATGTAACCATCAAGATTTGTGCCTCTTGTGAAGAAACAGTTAAACATATTATACTCCTGTTAAAATAAACTTGTTACTGTTTTCCTCAAGCCTTGCCTGATACAGTTTCTCCTAAGTTGAACAGCCTGCAATAGTAAAGTCAAGCCAGGAAAGTAAACACTACGCTATCAAATGAATAAAACCTTCTGTAATTAACAGTCCCTTTATAAAATAGCTCCTAGATTGATATTGATCATTGCCCGGCTTCCCTCATAGATTAGGTGGCAGTGGAAGTTTTACCACGCGCACCTTCACACCTGGGATGTGACCAAAACTCACCGCATGGAGGTCTTGCAGCTTGTGATGCCTCTCGCCGGGCCCCACGTGGACCAAGTGGTTGAAGTTGCTGGGGGCCGAGATGAGCTTGGAGCGGAGGCGGGGGTCACGCATCATCTCCCTGCAAAGCAGTGGGAACCCAAGACATTGTGACTGCCATGAAGACAGGCAGTTCCCAAGTTACAAACATCCGACTTATAGTTACAAACTTCTTTAAGCTAGGGAAAGCTTCCCAAAACTTCCTTGGCGAATGGACTATTAATCAAACAATCAAATAATGGATAACCTAAAAGTTCTACATAAGGAGACCCTTTTATCTTTGAAAAGTGTGTCCGTTCTGCAAGGAATGCAGAATCTGAAAACCCGCCTCCTTCCAAGATGGACTAAACGAAGAAGGATGATGAGTATGAATGAGTAAAGGGATTACGAGTGAATGTTACGAGTGTATGTGATGGTGAACTGAATGAAGAAGGACGGTGAGTATGAACGAGTGAATGAATGGATGACGAGTGAATGTTACGAGTATATGTGATGGTGAAATGAATGAGGAAGGATGGTGAGTATGAACGAGTGAATGAATGGATTACAATGAAGTGAGTATTGAGTAAAGTAATGGATAAAGAGTGAATGTTGTGAGTATATCGAACTGAATGAGAAAGGGAAGTGGGTATGAATGAGTGAATGAATGGATTATGAGTGAATGTTACGAGTATATGTGATGGTGAACTGAATGAGGAAGGACGGTGAGTATGAACGAGTGAATGAATGGATGACGAGTGAATGTTACGAGTATATGTGATGGTGAAATGAATGAGGAAGGATGGTGAGTATGAATGAGTGAATGAATGGGTTACAAGGAAGGGGAGTATTGAGTAAATTAATGGATGAAGAGTGAATGTTGCGAGTATATGTGATGATGAACTGAATGAAGAAGGAAGGTGAGTATGAATGAGTGAATGGATGGATTACGCGTGAATGTTACGAGAATATGTGATGATGAACTGAATGAAGAAGCACAGAGAGTATGAATGAGTGAATGAATGGATTCCGAGTGAATGTTACAAGTATATGTGATGATGAACTGAATGAAGAAGGGCGGTGAGTATGAACGAGTGAATGAATGAATTCCGAGTGAATGTTACGAGAATATCTGATGGCGAACTGAATGAAGAAGGACAGTGAGTATGAACGAGTGAATGAATGGATTACGAGTGAATGTTATGAGTATATGTGATGGTGAACTGAATGAGGAAGAACGGTGAGTATGAACGAGTGAATGGATGGATTCCGAGTGAATGTTACGAGTATATGGTGAACTGAATGAGGAAGGACAGTGAGTATGAACGAGTGAATGAATGGATTCCGAGTGAATGTTACGAGTATATTTGATGATGAACTGAATGATGAAAGACGGTGAGTATGAACGAGTGAATGAATGGACTACAATGAAGTGAGTATTGAGTAAATTAATGGATGAAGAGTGAATGTTGCGAGTATATGTGATGATGAACTGAATGGGGAAGGACAATAATATGAACGAGTGAATGAATGGATGAAGAGTGAATGTTACGGGTATATGTGATGGTGAACTGAATGAGGAAGAACGGTGAGTATGAACGAGTGAATGAATGGATTACAATGAAGGTGAGTATTGAGTAAATGAATGGATGACGAGTGAATGTTACGAGTATATGTGATGATGAACTGAATGAAGAAGGAAGGTGAGTATGAATGAGTGAATGGATGGATTACGAGTGACTGTTACGAGAATATGTGATGGTGATCCGAATGAAGAACAGTGAGTATGAACAAGTGAATGAATGGCTTACGAGTGAATGTTACAAGTATATGTGATGGTAAACTGAATGAGGAAGGACAATAATATGAACGAGTGAATGAATGGATTACGAGTGAATGTTACGAGTATATGTGATGGTGAGCCAAATGAAGGATGGTGAGTACGAACGAGTGAATGAATGGCTTACGAGTGAATGTTACGAGTAAATGTGATGGTGAACTGAATGAGGAAGGACGGTGAGTATGAATGAGTGAATGAATGAATTACAAGGAAGGTGAGTATTGAGTAAATGAATGGATGACGAGTGAACGTTACGAGTATATGTGATGATGAACTGAATGAAGAAGGAAAGTGAGCATGAATGAGTGAATGAATGGATAACAAGTGAATGTTAAGAATATATGTGATAATGAATGGAATGAAGAAGGACAGTGAGTATTTATGTGGAGTGACTGCTGAGTAAATGTGATGTTTCCACTCTGTCTGTGCAATCAATATAGCTATTACAAAAGCAGTACTGGAATTTGTATGTCTACTTTTTTTTCTGAAAGTGTCTGATGCACCCTGTCCCATTGAAAAGTGGTTGATAGACAGGTTTAAGTTTTGAAAAGTATCCATGACACTCCTGACGCTCTGCTTGAAAAACTACAACTCTTTCTGTTGGTGGTTGTGCCCCAAACACAATTCAAATGGTTCATCCCTGCAACTGGACATGAGGGACAGGCTACTTCCATGATGGTCAGACTCACTTCCTCTGGTGCTGCCGCTCCTCCTCGGTGATCCGGAAGGAAAAGCGCCGCTTGTGCCTCGTTCGCATGAGGTGCCGTCGGCTGTTGTCGGTCATCTGGGGGATTTCAAACTCATCCTGGTCTGGAAAGGAATTGGTTAAGAATTTACTTTTATAAAATGCACACATTTTATTTTTCCATAGGGATCCTATGCTTCTAACCCACTACATCAGTGCTTCTCACTTTTTCTCATCCCCTTCCTTCATTATTATTGCAAAGGCTGGATGGCCATCTGTTGGGAGTGTTCTGACTGTGATTTTCCTATGATGATGATGATGATGATTATTAGAACCCTTTCCTTACCTGCTGCCTTGTTTCTAAGGTAAGTCAGCCGGACCTTCTCGCTGCCAAAAGTGCAAAGGGATCCCTCGGGATTCAGGGCTCGGACCTGGAAAGAAACGGGGTGTCATTCCATCCCCAAAAAGTCACTTTTCCCAAGCTCTGTTTGTAGTAAATATGACATTTGAATTGAATGAAATTGTACGAAAGGTGTATGACTGGAGTCTGACCAAGACTGAAGACACTATCCTAAAAAGAATGGTCTTGATGGGAAACTACAAAAGGAGGTGAAGACTTCACGATCTGGTGACATGGCCCAGAGACAACAATTTAACTCTTGAGTTGAAAACAACATGTTTACATAGTCAAAGACAACGGTTCCTTAAATCAACACAATCGTTCCTTACATTAAGAAGGAAAACCAACATCAGTTCAGGAAGGAAGGAAACATCTCTCTAGAACTGATGGAGTCAACTTTTTGGAACAGCAAGAGCAAGACATTTGCTATATAAGAGACATTTTTACAATCCAAAAGTGTGGCAGACAGCAAAGTCCAAAATGCCACACATACACACCTTTTTCTTTCTTTAAAATAATTTTTAATTAAATTTTCAAAATTGTTATACATAAGGATAACAGAAGGATACCGTTGACCATGGTATCCTTCTGGGACGCTTTGCGGGAATGGGCCTCGGGGGTACTGCTCTGCAGTGGCTCCAGTCCTTCCTCGAGGGTCGCTCCCAGAAGGTGTTGCTAGGGGACTCCTGCTCGACCCCGCGGCCATTGTACTGTGGGGTCCCGCAGGGCTCAGTATTGTCCCCCATTTTGTTCAACATATACATGAAGCCGTTGGGAGAGATCATCCGGAGTTTCGGGGTGCGGTGTCATCTCTACGCAGATGATGTCCAATTCTGCTACTCCTTTCCACCTGCTACTAAGGAGGTTGTTCAAGTCCTGAACCGGTGCTTGGCCGCTGTAACGGACTGGATGAGGGACAACAGATTGAAACTAAATCCAGACAAGACAGAGGTCCTCCTGGTCAGTCGCAAGGCCGAACAGGGCATAGGGTTACAGCCTGTGCTTGATGGGGTCACACTCCCCCTGAAGACTTGGAAGTGATCCTGGACTCATCCCTGAGCCTGGAAACCCAGATCTCGGCGGTGGTCAGGGGACACAATTTTTAATTTTGCACAATTAAAACTCGTGCACCAGCTGCGCCCGTACCTTGGGAAGTCTGACTTGGCCATGCTCTGGTTACATCCCGTTTAGACTACTGCAACGCTCTCTACGTGGGGTTGCCTCTGAAGACTGCTCAGAAGCTACAACTAGTACAACGAGCAGCAGCCAGATTACTTATGGGAGTGGGGTACAGGGAGCATACTACTCCTCTGTTGTGCCAGCTCCACTGACTGCCAATCAGCTTCCAAACACAATTCAAAGTGCTGGTGTTGACCTATAAATCCCTAAACGGCTCTGGTCCTATTTACCTGTCCGAACAGATTCTCCCCTATGAACCATCAAGGTTGTTAAGATCTTCTGGAGGGGCCCTGCTCTCGGTCCCACCGCCTTCGCAAGCGCGTCTGGTGGGGACAAGGGACAGGGCCTTTTCGGCGGTGGCCCCTCGGCTTTGGAACTCCCTCCCGATGGAGATTAGATCTGCCTCTTCCCTCCTGATGTTTAGAAAGCTGGTAAAAACATGGCTTTGGAATACTGCATTCGCAGAATGATGACTGAGTCAATAACTGCTGACCTTTCTGGCGGGTGGCAATGAATTTGTGATTCTTTTTGACGAACTGATTTGTGTTGTAACTTGTATGAATTGTATTTTAATTTGATGATTTATAATGTTTTTCTTATTGTATTGAATCTTATGTTGTTAGCCGGCCTGAGTCCCTCCTCGGAGGTCGAGAAGACCGGGGTATAAAAACTCTAAATAAATAAACATCCCTCTAGAACTGATGGAGTCAACTTTTTGGAGCAGCAACAGCAAGAAATTTGCTATATTGTGGCAGCCGTTAGGAGAAAATAAAATAATAAAGGGAAATCATAATAATTTAGAATAAAATAGAAGATTCATGTTCCTACCTGATCTTGAAAAGCCCATTTCTAATGAGTGAATTTGCAAACATGAGAAACCTACAGATGATTAACACTGGACCTTGGGTCAGTTTGCTCTAGCCGATGTTTTCATAGATATGAAGTCAACAAGAGAAGTTTGGCAGGACGAAGAAATCAATAGTATCGATCCAAGACTTGGAACATCTAAGATCATATGGTGAGAGAGCGCCATCCTCTGACCACTTAATGTAAATAGCAGGCAATTTTAGAAGAGTTTCATCCTAAGTAAATTCCCTCATGGTTTTCATATTAAGAAATAAGTTATAATGAAGTAATTAAGGCTGGATTGATTAGAGGAGATTGCCTTGATCAAATCTTATGTTATAAGCATATAAAAGTTATAATTCAATTAGAGATTTAAGGAATTGAATATACGTGTCATCTTAGGGTAATGGGTGAAAGTTGGGATAAGTTACATAATCGAGCAGATGTTTGGGGTCACAATGTGGCTGCCAAGACCTGATAAAGATGTCCTTGGCAACTATACATGGAAACACCTGTTAATGATTGTATTGTGTAAATGTCAGATTCTTTCTGTGCATGTGTGGAAAGGGTGATATTCTGCTATAAAAGACCGAGGCGATTCAGACCTCAGTTGTGACAGTAATTTGATCTGTTCACCCTATACTCTGCAGAGATAGAAATAAACGCCTGGAAATCAGACATGCTGTCTCTCCATCTTCTTCTTTCTCCAAAAGTACTCTAATGATCTCGGGTAACGTATATTCCGCAACAATATAAGAGACATTTTTACAATCCAAAAGTGTGGCAGACAGCAAAGTCCAAAATGCCACACATACACACCATTTTCTTTCTTTAAAATATTTTTTATTACATTTTCTAAATTGTTATACCTTTTTCAGTGAGATGGTCTGAATCCATTCGGCTTTCCGGGCGTCAAAGACGTCCACTGCGTTTTCGCTGAACACTGACAAATAGGGAGCGTTGTAACCTGGGATGGAGAGACAAAAGAATATGTATGTTAATGCCAGATTTTTAGGTTGCAACACACATCACTCCCCAGACAGCATGAAATTAGAGAGAGGTTGCATTGCCACAAATGGAGACGTCAAGCTCCCACGGCCTCCCCGTATTAAATAGAGGCTGGATGGCCATCTGTCGGGAGGGCTTGGATGGTGTATTCCTGTAGGACGGTTCCCAAGACCACCAGAAATATGTGTTTACCAATGGTCTTTAGGTGATCCCTGTGAAAGGATCGTTTGACCCCCAAAGGGGCCGCGGCTCTGAATTAGAAAAGTGAACACGCGTGTGAGTCGACACAGAGTCGACAGCACAGAGTCGACAAGGTAGTTCAGTAGAAAAGGAAAGGGGAAAATGGGAAGCATAGTCTCGCAAGAACTGCATTGCACAACCAGCGTAGCGCTACTAGCACTGAGTCCCAGCTATCATACTTTTACCACGGTTCTGAATTAGAGAAGTGAACACGTGTGTGAGTCAACACAGAGTCGACAGCATAGACTCGACAAAGTAGTTCGGTAGAAAGGGGAAGGGGAAACAGGGAAGCATAGTCTCGCGAGAACTGCATTGCACAACCAGCGTAGCGCTACTAGCACTGAGTCCCAGCTATCATACTTTTACAACGGTTCTGAATTAGGGCAGTCAACACATGTGTGAGTCGACACAGAGTCGACAGCACAGAGTCGACAAGGTAGTTCGGTAGAAAGGGGAAGGGGAAAAGCGGAAGCATAGTCTCGCGAGAACTGCGTTGCGCAACCAGCGTAGCGCTACTAGCACTGAGTCCCAGCTATCATACTTTTACCACGGTTCTGAATTAGAAAAGTGAACACATGTGTGAGTCGACACAGAATCAACAGCACAGAGTCGACAAGGTAGTTTGGTAGAAAAGGGAAGGGGAAACAGGGAAGCATAGTCTCGCGAGAACAGCGTTGCACAAGCAGCGTAGTGCTACCAGCACTGAGTCCCAGCTATCATACTTTTAACAAGGTTCCTCCACCACACTACGAGGCAGAGAGTTCCACTGCTGAACAGCTCTCGCAGTGAGGAATGCAGAATCTGAACACCCGCCTCCTTCCAAGATGGACTAAACACCTGCCTCCTCCCAGCTGTTCAGGCCAGCAGCCAATCAGCGTGAAGCCGGGCGGGGAGGAGGGGGGGGAGATTTGAATTGTTTCTCTGTATTTTGCCTATAAAAATGCCTGTAACTCTTGAATTGGTATGCTTGTGGTGGAACTATTCCTACAATGCATCCGATCTCAGCTGAATCGCTAATAAACCTCGGTGCCACTTCTTCGCCTTGGCAAGAGTCTCATTTCAATTATTAATATCAATAAAATTGCTGGAATCAGGCTTCCCTGAAGGCTTGCCAAGGTAGCGTTCCCTCTTTGGTGGGAACTAAGGGTCATCTCTCCTTGGAGTTGACCCCCCCTAAAGTCTGAGTTGGCTTCATTAATACTCACAGCAGCTAAGAGGAGGTGCAGGCCACATGAGTTCCTGGGTCCGGCTCCGGCGTCCCTGGCCATCCACGTAGAGCCCGAATCCGCTGAAGCAGAGGATCAGCTCGCTCAGGCTGACCTCCACAGCCTTCAGGGCTTCCATCTGGGCCACGGCAGTGGCCCGAGAGTCGTCGGGGTGGGGCAAATGGACTGGGGGGGCTTCGTTGAGCAGCGGGTAGAGCGAGAACCCGCCGGGGAAGCCCACGCAGAGTCGGTCGCCCAAGAAGTCCAAGCATTGAACGTAGCCCTGAGCCTGGATCTCCTTGATGCGGCGGTGGGGCGGGCGGGTGGCGGTCAGCTGGAAGCAGAGGACCTGGCGCTTGCAGGCCACACAGAGCACCGGGGTGGTGCCACGGCAGACCAGCCCCACGGCCACCGCCTGGCAGCCCTTGGCTTCCACCAGCTTGGACCCGGGGGCCTCGGGGGTCTCCAGTTCGGCCCAGGAGAAGAGGCGCAGGCCGTGGTTCTTGCCGCAGAGCACTGAGAGCAGTTGGGCCTGCGGAGAGACCAGGAGGAGCTGCACTCGCCGGCAGTCGCCCACTTGCAGGACGTCTAAGGGGGGAAAAGAAGAGAAAGTGGGAATCATAGAATCAAACTTCTATTATTATTATTATTATTATTAACTTTATTTGTACCCCGCTAGCATCTCCCGAAGGACTCGATGCGGCTTACAAAGGCCAAGGCCTCAACACACAACATAACAATACAAAACCTAAAGCAAATTAAAAACAATTAAAGCAATATAAACGACAAGCAATAAACAATACACTAAGACACAATAAAACTGGGCCGGGCCAGAGTAATGGGTACAGGAATTAAAAGTGCTGATGTGACAGGTGGGATATAAGGCTTATAGGGCAAGTGCAGTGTGCGGTGTGCGGCAATTTAGTTCTACTAAAGTGCTTCTGGGACTTGGTATTGGAGATTCCTATTCTGGGAAGGCACATCGGAACAGCCAGGTCTTCAAGTTCTTTCTAAAGACTGCCAATGTAGGGGCCTGTCTAAGATCTTTTGGGAGGGTGTTCCAGAGTCGGGGGGCCACCACAGACAAGGCCCTGTCTCGTGTCCCCACCAAACGCGCTTGCGACGCAGGCGGGATCACGAGCAGGGCCTCTCCAGATGACCGAAGTGAACACGTGGGTTCGTAGATGGAGATGCGGTCACGCAGGTAGGATGGTCCCAAACTGTTTAGGGCTTTGTAGGTAAGCAGTGCACCTTGAATTGGGCTCGGAAAATAAACGGCAGCCAGTGGAGTTCCTTGAACAGAAGGGTTGACTTCTCTCTGTAAGGAGCACCAGTTAACACCCTAGCCGCTGCTCGTTGGACCAGTTGGAACTTCCGAGCCGTTTTCAAGGGCAGCCCCACGTAGAGCGCATTGCAGTAGTCCAATCTGGAGGTGACCAAGGCATGGACCACCCCAGCCATATCCGAGTTCACAAGGTATGGTTGCAGTTGGCGCACGAGTCTCAGTTGTGCGAAAGCCCTCCCAGACACCGCCGACGCCTGAGCCTCAAGCGTAAGCGATGAATCCAAGAGGACTCCCAAACTGCAGACCTGTGGCTTCAGGGGGAGTGCAACCCCGTCCAGCACAGGTTGCCACCCTATACCCCGGTCAGGTTTACGATCGACCAGGAGGACCTCTGTCTTGTCGGGATTGATCTTCAGCTTGTTCCTCCTCATCCAGATAGACACAGCGGCCAGGCACTCGTCCAGCACTCGAGGGGCCTCCTTGGAATTGGGTGGAAAGGAGTAATAGAGAGTAATAGAGAATAATACTCTTGTCCACCTCACTCCAAGGAAGCTCCCCAGATCATGGACCAGTGATGGCCCAACAAGCCATCACAGACAAGACAGAGGTCCTCCTGGTCAGTCGCGAGGTTGCCATAAGGTGGCAACCTGTGCTTGACGGGGTCACACTCCCCCTGAGAACATGGGTTTGCAGTCTTGGGGTCCTCCTGGACTCTTAACTGTGTAAGACTGTAGGATCTATATAGCAATATTAAATAACCACTCACAAGCCGTTTTTGCTTTGAAATGGATATATTGCTTGTATCTCTGGAGCAAAGAAAGACACGACTGATTTTTCCCACCACCACTTCCTTTTATACATCTTTCCTGCCCATCTCCCCCCTCTTCTCAGTTTCCTTATTAGACGTTGTTGTTTCACAAGTTCCACTACAATGTTTCCAGCGCCTTCTGCTGGCTTCAAAATGTCACAGAGAGAGAATTGATTCAACCACTAGGCCACATTGTCTCTGTCTACACCCTTTACTTCCAGAGCCAAAACTCTTGAACAACATTTACAACATTTACTGGACGAAGAAAGACTCTCAAACAGGAAATCCTTCCCATACTGAGATCTTGAAACCTCCACCCAAAAGGAAAGTAGTCTTTACCATTTGTCCGGAGATGAATCAAGAAGAGGCCGTCTTCGGTACCCAACGCGATCCTCTCCCGGTCTGGAAAAGGAGATACGGCGGTTAAGTGGTGTCGGTTCGATAGGCCAGGCATGGGCAAACCGGCCTACCCGCTGTTAGGAATTGTGGGAGCTGAGGTCCAAAACACGATGGCCAAAGTTTACCCAGGCCTGGTGTGAATGCACCTTGACGAGGAGATTTTTGTCAGAAATATTAAAAATTAACTAGGTATTTTTGGTTACGAAGATGTGAGTCAAGCAGTGAAACAGTTAAATGGATGCAGTGACTCAGAGAAGCTGTGGTTCGATATGTTGTTTAGGAACGCCTCAGTCTGAGAGAGCTCTCTGTGTGAGAGAAGCCTCTCTGTGTGACTCAGGGAAGCTGCGGTTCAATATAAGCAGGCGTGCCTGTTGCTTAGGAACGCCTCAGTTTGAGAGAGCTCTCAGTGTGAGAGAAGCCTCTCTGTGTGACTCAGGGAAGCTGCGGTTCAATATAAGCAGGCGTGCCTGTTGCTTAGTAACACCTCAGTCTGAGAGAGCTCTCTGTGTGAGAGAAGCCTCTCTATGTGACTCAGAAGCTGCGGTTCAATATAAGCAGGCGTGCCTGTTGCTTAGTAACACTTCAGTCTGAGAGAGCTCTCTGTGTGAGAGAAGCCTCTGTGTGACTCAAGGAAGCTGTGGTTCAATATAAGCAGGCGTGCCTGTTGCTTAGTAACACCTCAGTCTGAGAGAGCTCTCTGTGTGAGAGAAGCCTCTCTGTGTGACTCAGAGAAGCTGCGGTTCAATATAAGCAGGCGTGCTTGTTGCTTAATAACACCTCAGTCTGAGAGAACTCTCTGTGTGAGAGAAGCCTCTCTGTGTGACTCAGAGAAGCTGCGGTTCAATATAAGCAGGCGTGCCTGTTGCTTAGTAACACCTCAGTCTGAGAGAGCTCTCTGTGTGAGAGAAGCCTCTCTGTGTGACTCAAGGAAGCTGTGGTTCAATATAAGCAGGCGTGCCTGTTGCTTAGTAACACCTCAGTCTGAGAGAGCTCTCTGTGTGAGAGAAGCCTCTCTGTGTGACTGAGGGAAGCTGTGGTTCAATATAAGCAGGTGTGCCTGTTGCTTAATAACACCTCAGTCTGAGAGAGCTCTCTGTGTGAGAGAAGCCTCTCTGTGTGACTCAAGGAAGCTGTGGTTCAATATAAGCAGGCGTGCCTGTTGCTTAGTAACACCTCAGTCTGAGAGAGCTCTCTGTGTGAGAGAAGCCTCTCTGTGTGACTGAGGGAAGCTGTGGTTCAATATAAGCAGGTGTGCCTGTTGCTTAATAACACCTCAGTCTGAGAGAGCTCTCTGTGTGAGAGAAGCCTCTCTGTGTGACTCAAGGAAGCTGTGGTTCAATATAAGCAGGCGTGCCTGTTGCTTAGTAACACCTCAGTCTGAGAGAGCTCTCTGTGTGAGAGAAGCCTCTCTGTGTGACTGAGGGAAGCTGTGGTTCAATATAAGCAGGTGTGCCTGTTGCTTAATAACACCTCAGTCTGAGAGAGCTCTCTGTGTGAGAGAAGCCTCTCTGTGTGACTCAAGGAAGCTGTGGTTCAATATAAGCAGGCGTGCCTGTTGCTTAGTAACACCTCAGTCTGAGAGAGCTCTCTGTGTGAGAGAAGCCTCTCTGTGTGACTCAGAGAAGCTGCGGTTCAATATAAGCAGGCGTGCTTGTTGCTTAATAACACCTCAGTCTGAGAGAACTCTCTGTGTGAGAGAAGCCTCTCTGTGTGACTCAGAGAAGCTGCGGTTCAATATAAGCAGGCGTGCCTGTTGCTTAATAACACCTCAGTCTGAGAGAGCTCTCTGTGTGCATCTCTTAATAAAAAAACATAGACCTCAGAGTGTGAGGTAGGCCTCAGTATGAAAAGGCCTCATGTGTAAAGCTCCAGTATAAAGGCTGTTGTGTGTAAAAAGCTACTGTGTAAAGCTCCAGTAGAAGTTCATTGTGAGAGCAGGCTCTGTGAGAGCGAAGCTGACTATCTGCATGAGGAAGAAGCCCAGCGTGGAAGCAAAGAAGGAAGTATATTTTATATGTATTGTGGAAACCTTGTTATTGTAGTTTAGTAGGCCTCTGTGTTAGTTTGCCTCAGTGGGAGAAAGGTCTCAGTCTGCGTGAATGTCTCACAGTGTGAGGTACACCTTAAAGTTTGTGAGAGAAGCCTCTGTGTGAGGTAAGCCTCAATATGAGAAGGCCTCGTGTGTGAAGCTCCGCTGTGAAGGCTGGACTTGATTTGTGTTATGGAAACCTTGTTTTGTAAATAGTGCAACCATATTATTTTGCGTGTTTTGGTCTGCGTGTTTTGGTTCTTTTTGGGCTACTGGGTTACTTTGGGCTACTGGTGCTGGGTCGCACTGCGGCTAAGACGTTATTCTGCTATACATTTGTTAATACCCCCACTCGCTCATTATGTTTCCTACCTAAGATTGCTGCCGAAAGCGCATGCGGGACAAAAGGGAGGCCGTTGTCGTAGGCTTCTTTGAGGACGTAGACGGTGCGGTCGCAGTGCCGATTCTCCCGCAAAATGTGGTGCAGCTCGGTCAACACTTGCACCCATTTCCGCATTTCCGTTTCGCTGTCGGCCAGGAAAAGCATGGAGCTGGTGGTCGGAGGGGAGCTCAGCTGAGATGCCGTCACCTGCATGGGAAAGAGAGCAACATCCAGAGATAGAGGAAGCTTTCCTTTTACCAAGGACTACAATTCCCATCAACTAGCGGGGAAAATGGGTAAGGACGATGTGGGCAGCAGTCCTAAAATACTAGGTGGTGTGAGATTGAGAATGGTCATTGTCATCTAGAGGAGGAGGAGGTGGAGGAGGAAGAGAAAGAGAAGGAGGAAGAAGGGAAAAGAACAGAGGGAAAAGAGGAATAGGAAACAGGAAGAGAAAAAGTATATATTTTATATTACATGTAATATAAAATATATAATTATAATATTGTATTATAAGTATATATTATCAATATCTAAGTATATATTGAATATATAAGTATATATGGAATCTGACTATAGAGTGGCAATTATCTTAATTGGGCACAATCTACCTTGGAGTAATTTATTGACAGATACACCTCTTGGGAGTAGGTACTAAAAGCCTTCAGACCCAACCGAGAGAGGGAGATGAGCACTAGATCATCTGCGTACATCAGGATGAAAAGTGAAGAGAGAGGGGGCTACAGTTGAAGACAGTTCCATCTTGTCTTCTGTGCTTTACTAATTATATAATATAATATCATATATTGTATATACATATAATATTTATGGTATTATTATGTAATACAATACTAATAATAATATAATATTATAATTATATATATTTTATATTGCATGTAAAATTACTAATATTACAATGTGATGGTGCAGTACAATATAGCAATATATAGTACTGATATATAGTACTATGCTAATAATATAATATATTGTAAGCCGCTATGAGTCCCCTTCGGGGTGAGAAGGGCGGCCATAGACACCTCCAAGGTCATGTGGCCAGCATGACTGAATGGAGCGCCGTTACCTTCCCGCCAGAGCGATACCTATTGATCTACTCACATTTGCATGTTTTCAAACTGCTAGGTTAGCAGAAGCTGGGGCTAACAGTGGGAGCTCAAACTGCTCCCCGCATTTGAGCCTGCGTCCTTTCAGTAAGCAAGTTCAGCAGCTCAGCGGTTTAATCCCCTGTGCCACCAGGGGCTCCTGCTTGCTGAATTATAATTAAAACCTGCTAATGAGAGCTGAAATGGTCGACCTGCCTAGTAAACTGTGATAAGAACTGTGACAGTGATAAGTGTCAACATTTGTCTCTGGTCAGCATTTGCTGACCAGAAACAAGTGATTAACTGTTGAACTTTTGGGGAAAAAACATGTTTACATAATTTACATAATATAAACATTATCAGAGGCAATAAATCTTTAAGTTAAGGAAATGTTTACAAGGTTCTTTATGTTAAAAAGGAAGTCAACACAAGGCTCCCTACGTTTACCAACACCAATTAAGGAGAGTCAACATCTGCCCGGAACGGACATGAAGCCAGGATGTTTCAGGCTGGAAAAACATCCATCGTTCATTTATTGCTATACAAGAGACCTTATTACAATCCAAAAATTGTGGCAGAGTGCCACCGGGGGCTCCTGATGAATACAGGAGAGACCCCAGACTGCGGACCTGTGTCCTCAGGGAAAGTGGGTCCCTGTCAAGAAAATTCAGCAGATCAGCAGTTTAACACACTGCGCCACCGGGGGCTCCTCTATGGTGTAGATGCGAGCTTAGAAAAGGCAGAATTATGAATATCATCATCACTTATATACCATCCTCCATACCCTTTTCTCTTACCCGGAAGATGCAGGGCACATCTTTGCTACTGGCATGTATGACATCTGAGGCTAGCACCGGACTCACGGAGAACTGCTCATCCCTGTGGCAATGAAAGAGTATAGAGATGTGAACATAAGCGTCCTTTAAGTCTAGGAAAGACGGCAGTGTTCTGTGGTATAGGACTCAAATAGAGAAACATTCCCCAAAGGCTTATGCTACTCTTCTTATGTTTACATGGCTTTCATTATCCTTAATTATTGGGGTAACTCAGTCCTACCCTGTGCCAGGCAGAAAGACACAATCCAATCTCTCCCGACAGATTGCCAAGGCAAAATATCCCACTGTCAGAACAGTTCCGGCCATCAGAATTTTTAGGTGGAATCTCTTCCCTGTAATCCGAACCCATCGCTTACCTCATGTCCGTGACGTGCATGACCGCCACGTCGCATTGGGATGCTTTCCCTTCCGGGACATCAAAGAGGAAAATCTTGAAGTCACTGACCACCACGAAAGCCTTCTGCCATCCTTTCTTAACCCCAGAAGGTTTGGGCACCTGCGAGAAAACTCTGCCTGAGAATCGCCTCGTGTGATTAGAGGTATTCCCCTTGTCCTATAGTTGGGTCGTTCCGTCATTTCTGACTACAGGTTCAAATCCTGGAAAAAATCTTACCGACAGGTAACCCTCAAAGGCCGTGCCGGTCCCGTTGGTTGGGTTGACACCTAAGGTTTTTTGGACCTGCTCTGGAGGCATGGGGCAAATGGAGGCCGATCCAGCACAGGAAACGTGGCAGACAAAGTTGCATACTGGAAACAAAAGAGAAGGAGAACTAAAGTAACTTGGGCAAAGCCGGGAACCCAAGCTAGTATTATATCTAAATTATTATTATTATTATTATTATTATTATTTACTTATTTATATCTTACTCACCTCTCCCGATGGCTCGAGGTGGGTTACAGCGTAATTGAAACACATAAACATTTGAAAAATTCTATAACTTTACATATTAAAATATATTTCTATAAACGATATATATTAAAATGTATTTCTATGGAGTACATATTAAAATACACAGAACAGAGATTAAACACACTAAAGTATCACTAAAGTTGGAAGGAATCTCCAAAGGCCATCCAGTCCAACCCCATTCTGCCGTTAAGGAGGATACCACCCATGCTCTCCTGACAGATGGCCATTCAGCTTCCGCTTACAATCCTCCAGAGAAAGATCATAAAATTGGATTTATAGCCCTGAATTCCCCGTGCAGGAGGTACTAGGGTGTCTCCCAATTAGCTCGGCGTTTTTAGCAGCTATTCTAGCGGAACGCCATCTGTGCTCTGTCTCTTTTCGTCTCTCTAGAAATGTGAGCACTTTCAAACCGTCATAATCCCCTCCCGATAGCTACAATGTATTTCTACAGAGTACATATTAAAATACACAGAACAGAGATTAAACACACTAAAGTATCACTAAATTTGGAAGGGATCTCCAAAGGCCATCCAGTCCAATCCCATTCTGCCATTAAGGAAGATACCACTCATGCCCTCCTGACAGATGGCCATTCAACTTCAGCTTACAATCCTCCAGAGAAGGATCATAAAATTGGAAGTGACCCCAAGGGCCGTTAAGTCTAACCCCATTCTGCCATTTGAGGAGGCACAACCAAATCCCTCCTGACAGATGGCCATGCAGCCTGAGCACGCCCAAAGAACATTAACCCTAGAAGAGATAAGAAAGATGCCTCTCACCTTCACACGACAATCCTTGCCGGACCAAGCCGACCAACAGAGATGTGCATCGCATGCATTTGGTGGGTGTGGAGAAGCTGTGCGTCTTGAAAGCGTGCGATTTGGGCTGGGAGGAAAGTAAACAAAAATAAGACACGTGAGACTTTGGGCGCATCGACACTGTAGGTGTTGTAGATCGGCCACCAGAGGCTGATGGTTTAACTGGTTTAACTGATGATTTGGAGAGGATTGCACGCTTTCCTGTGGCACAAAGTGATGGGCCCTCAAGTCTGGGAAACGATGGTTCTTGTCCTGAGTTGCCCTTCAAAAACAGCCTTTAGATCAGTGTTTCTCAACTTGGGGGTCGGGACCCCTGTGGGGGTCATGAGGGGGTGTCAGAGGGGTCACCAAATATCATCAGAAAGCATAGTATTTTCTGTTGGTCATGGGTTCTGTGTGGGAAGTTTGGTCCAATTCTATCATTGGTGCGATAAAGTTACCTCAATAACTAAGGATAATGAAAGCCATGTAAACATAAGAAGAGTAGCATAAGCCTTTGGGGAATGTTTCTCTATTTGAGCCCTATACCAAAGAACACTGCCGTCTTTCCTAGACTTAAAGGATGCTTATGTTCACATCTCTATACTCTTTCATTGCCACAGGGATGAACAGTTCTCCGTGAGTCCGGTGCTGGCCTCAGATGTCATACATGCCAGTAGCAAAGATGTCATAATGTTATTTCGTTGTAGGTGAACTATAAATCCCAGCAACTACAACTCCGAAATGTTAAGGTCTATTTTTCCTCAAACTCCTCCAGTGTTCACATTTCAGCATATTGAGTATTCGTGCCAAGTTTGGTCCAGATCCATCATTGTTTGAGTCCACAGTGCTCTCTGGATGGAGGTGAACTACAACTCCAAACATTCAAGGTCAATGTCCACAAGATCCTCCCAGTATTTTCTCTTGGTCAAGGGAGTCCTGTGTACCAAGTTTGGTTCAATTTCATCATTGGTGGTGTTCAGAATGCTCTTTGATTGTAAGTGAACTATAAATCTCAGCAACTACAGCTCCCAAATGACAAAATCAATCCCCCAACCCCACCAGTATTCAAATTTGGGCATATTGGGTATTTGGGAATTGAAAATACATCCTGCATATCAGATATTTACATTACAATTCATAACAGTAGCAAAATTACAGTTATGAAGTAGCAATGAAAATGTTATGGTTGGGGGTCACCACAACGTGAGGAACTGTACTAAGGGGTCGCGGCATTAGGAAGGTTGAGAACCACTGCTTTAGACAATGTTGAAAGTAAAAGAAAAAAGCACAAAGGATAAGTAAATGCAATTGAAAAGTGCAAAAGAAAGCAAGGACGTCTTAACCCAGACACAAATTAAAGTCTCTTACAAAGTCCCAAAAGAGACACCAGTCTTCCATCAGACAACCAGCAATGAACTAAGTCCTTAGCAGCAGACACAAAGCAGATTCCATTGGAGTGAAAACATCAGTATCAGGGTCGTTGTTACTGCTCCTGCCTCTGATTTATAGCCCTGAATTCCCCATGCAGGAGGTACTAGGGTGTCTCCCAATTAGCTCAGCATTTTTAGCAGCTATTCTAGCAGAACGCCGTCTGTGCTCTGTCTCTTTTCGTCTCTCTAGAAATGTGAGCACTTTCAAACCATCATAATCCTCTCCCGATTTCTACAGAGTACATATTAAAATACACAGAACAGAGATTAAACACACTAAAGTATCACTAAAGTTGGAAGGGATCTCCAAAGGCCATCCAGTCCAACCCCATTCTGCCGTTAAGGAAGATACCACCCATGCCCTCCTGACAGATGGCCATTCAGCTTCCGCTTACAATCCTCCAGAGAAAGATCATAAAATTGGATTTATAGCCCTGAATTCCCCGTGCAGGAGGTACTAGGGTGTCTCCCAATTAGTTCAGCGTTTTTAGCAGCTATTCTAGCAGAACGCCGTCTGTGCTCTGTCTCTTTTCATCTCTCTAGAAATGTGGGCACTTTCAAACCCTCATCGTATTATTATTATTATTATTATTATTATTATTATTATTATTATTATTATCCCTCCAATTCCTGAGCACTTCCCTGCTCTCCTTCCTCCTCCGAGCCCAAGTGTTTATAAGTTTCCATTACCTTCAGGGATGCTGGGTTTTCCATGGTAGTCGTTCCTGTCTGAGTTGGGGATACTGGGACCTTCAATGAAAAAGGAAGAGGTTGCATTGATGCCTTTACAGCTCTCCGTGCCCATAGCTAATCTAACTGGCCTAAAGTGCATCTACATATAAACATACACAACACCCCTGCTAGGTAGGCACGTTAATTCAATCCTATCCCGGCCTCCTCTGTCTGTGAAATAGGAAAGACTGTCTCAAAGACAAGCAGTGTACGTTACAGTCAGTTCAGGCAACACTGTGTTAGAGTGAGAAGCTAAGCCTGAGTTCGCTTGTTTCTGGTTCCGATCCCCCAAATTCCGATCCCCCAAACACTGCAGAGTCTTGGTCACAGCTAGCAGAGATTTCATATCACAGTCTCTGACGGAGGGTGAAGAGGTCACTAGGGGATGTACGAGGGTTATTTTTAAAGTAAGGTCCGTTTTGTTGTAGACACTAGTAGTTCGCGCGCATACCGCAACGAGCGCGTGCGTCATGTACCGGCATGCCTCGGGAACAACTGTGCTCAGTTTCCGCTCTGTAGCTCACCTGGACGGTTCTGTTCTGTGCTTTAAAAATGTTGAAGACTCTCAACTCACCCTCCGCATGTGAGGTTCGCTCAGTGATACGGTTTTTGTCAGCAAGGAACCTGCCTGCTGCAGAAATTCATCGACAGATTTGTGAAGTGTACGGTGATACTGTTATGAGTGAAAGCAAAGCGCGTAAGTGGGTACGACAATTCAAAGATGGCCGTGACAACGTCCATGATGAGGACCCCTCCAGTTGCCCTTCTTGGATTACAGACGATTTGGTGGCTTCAGTTGAAGCGAGGATTTATGAAGAGGGTATTTTAAAATTGGTTCAGAGGTATGATAAGTGTTTGAACAAACTTGGCAACTATGTCGAAAAATAGAGTGAAGTATGTACTTTCTGAAAATAAATTTACTTTTTTGAAATAAACTTTTGTTGTGTACTTATGTCCCAACGGACCTTACTTAAAAAATACCCCCTTTTTGAGATTAGATCTCAAAAAGCAAGGCGGCAATCACCACTTTGACTGGCTTGTTCTAATGTTTTCACAAACCCCGATGACATCTAGACGTTTGATGATCCAACAATGTGGCAGTAAGTCCAATACTTTATTATTATTATTATTATTATTTATTGTTATTTATGTTTATTATTATTATTATTAGTGTTGTAACTCAGCGTGTGCCTTCTGTATCTACTAGTGCTAGTAGGAGGAAACGAGGCTTGGAAGAGGAGGACGCTCAGCAGCAGCTGAAGCGCATTAGGGACATGTTCCTAGAATCTAGTGATGAGGAAGACTTTCAGGGGTTTACTCATGAGGAGATGGAGATGGAGGATTACTGTGGTGTAAAGCGAGTAGCACGCAGTTCTGATAGCGATGAGGAATCCATTTCCAAGCGTCTTAAAGACATAGCAGATAGCTACTGGTCTGAAAGTGATGATGAAGAGCTTGACTGGACTAGGGTCCAGGAGGTTCAGGATGTGATTAATGCTCCAACCTCCAGTGATGAGTTCCAAGGGTTCACAGACTCATGGGTTTCGGATACTGCTTCTCAGGATGCAGCCTGGAGTGCAGATTGGCAACAATGGAGGGAACGCAGTTCACCTGTGGAACTGGATGCACCTGGAAGCGAATCTAGTGATTCTGATGGGATTTAAGGAGTAGCCTTGGGTCCATCATGTTGCAGAGTTCAAAGCGTCGTGTACCCGTGTATCCTGCTGTTAACTCTTGCCTTGAGTCCTTGCATCCAGAATCGTGTTTCCGTGATCGTGCTGACTACTTTGCCTGGCTTGGAACCGTGAGTCTTGTCTCCTGCCCTGACCTCTGGACCGTCTTGACTACTCTACAATTCTGCCTGTCTCCAGCGTGGACTTCAGACCGCTCCTCATACGGCTTTTTGTGTTGTGATTTTTGAACTGACTGTATTCCGTTCTAACCACGAACTGTTTTGCCTGCTTTACTTCTGCTTTCCTTTTTGCTGCCCAGACTGCCTGGGCGGCTGCTTTGTTTACATTCCTGCAAGCCGCAGGCTCTTTTGTTTACACGCTCTGCTGTGAAGAGCCATTTGACTTGTTAATTTGCCATTAAACACCCTTTGTTAACCCTTAAGCTGCTGTTTTGCCTCGTTGCTCTGCCTGGGTCTTGACAATTAGGCTTGTTTGATCGTGTTCGTTAGTTTCTAAAGTCGTTATTAATTCGTATTTAAATTAGCTTACGATCCAATATCGAGCCATGCAGGAATACTGTGAAGAGTAATTAAGAATCGAAACAATTTTCCCAAATTTTCGTAATTATTTCGTAACTATTTCGTAATTATTAAGACGGGAAAGAAGGAGAGAAAAGGTGTCAGCATTGCCTTTTCTCCCCATCCTCCTCCTCCTCCTCCTCCTCCTGGAGATATTTTATTATCTTATTATTTATTTTATTATTTTATTTTATTATTTTATTATTTATTTAATTATTTAATTATTTAATTAATTTTAAGTGATTTTAATTTGTATTTTTACTAACTTAATGTATTTTAATTTCATCCTGAATTTATTTTAATTTGGTTTCTGTTAGTTGTAAGTTTTATCACCAACAGTCAGCAACAGAGGGAGAGGGATGCTTCAGAAGTTCCCCCTGTCCCGTTTGGAGGTGTTTTTAGCGCATTGCGCAATTGCATCCACCATTAACGAATCAATTCGTAATTAACGAAATTTTGTAAATTTTGAAATTTTGAAATCTTAAATTTTGGAAGTCCTCAGAAATTCGAAACACTGGCGCCCCCTGGAAACGAAGCGAGTTTAGAACCAAATTTTTTCTTGATCAAAGAAGCCTAATTATTATGTTTATTGATTCCCTACTTTTCAGATCAAGTCTTCCCAGCACCTCCATAATAAGGCCTTGAAATCCAGGTGCGTCAGACATGACTTTATGGGAGCCTGGACAGGCTTAAATTAAGTGTTTGGTTCCAAGCATTTCAGAGGAGACAACTTTGCTAAAGGGGAAACAGTCTCCTGTTCATGTCACCATGTTCTCAAGTTTTGTATTGCCAAGATTCTTGTTTCATGTTTCTACCTTTGTCTATGCACCTTGGGAGACTTTTGTCCTGTGTTCATGCCCCTCGAATGACCTTGGATTATTTTTGTTTTATGGATTTCTAGTTCCTCTGATGTTTCTTCGGCTTTCTTGAAAGACCTTTATTGAACTCTGACTCATCTATATCTATAAATCTGTAAGGGGCGTTAAACGGGACAGCAAAACTCAAAAAACCCCCAACGGAAATTAACCAAAATTCCCATGCACATACCTCAACCCACAAGGTACAAACAAATCGAATCAAAATGAAAAACAACACAACAAAACACTCACAAAAGGACAAAACAACAGAGCATGCGCAATGGCGCAAAGTCCCCGGCGCGCGCGCGCACATGGCCAAACAGCCAACGCACCCTCTGCACCTCCCTCCCTCCCTCGCCCCAGCCAGCATGAACACGCGGCACACACACACACACACGCCACAACACGTCACCTCACTCCCCTGCGGCACACACACACACGCCACAACACGTCACCTCACTCCCCCGCGGCACACACACACACACACGGCACAAAACATCACCTCACTCTCCCGGCCCACACACACACACACACGCCACAACACGTCACCTCACTCCCCCGCAGCACACACACACACGCCACAACACGTCACCTCACTCCCCCCGCGGCACACACACACACACACACCACAACACCTCCCCCCCCGCCCCCGCACACACACACACGCCACAACACGTCACCTCACTCCCCCGTGGCACACACACACACGCCACAACACGTCACCTCACTCCCCCGCGGCACACACACACACACGCCACAACACGTCACCTCACTCCCCCGCGGCACACACACACACGCCACAACACGTCACCTCACTCCCCCGCGGCACACACACACACACACGGCACAAAACGTCACCTCACTCCCCCACGGCACACACACACACGCCACAACATGTCACCTCACTCCCCCGCCCACACACACACACACACGCAACACCACGCTCACCTCACTCCCCCGCGGCACACACACACACGCCACAACACGCCTCACTCACCCCCCGCAGCACACACACACACGCCACAACATGTCACCTCACTCCCCCGCGGCACACACACACACGCCACAACACGTCACCTCACTCCCCCACGGCACACACACACACGCCACAAAACGTCACCTCACTCCCCCGCCCAACACACACACACACACGCAACACCACGCCCCAATCTTATCTCCTCCTTCTTCTTTCCCAATCTATCCCTCCTCCCCTCCTTCTTCTTCCCCTCCAAACCCCCCCCCCCCCGTTAGAGAAGGGAGGAAGGAAAGAAGGAAAGAGAAAGAAGGGAAAAAGAAAAGAGAAGAAAGAAAAGAAAAAGGGGGGAGGAAGGAAGAGGAGGAAGAGGGAAGAAGGAAAGAAAAAGAAGGAAAGGGAAGGAAAGAAAAGGAAGAAGGAAGAAGAAAGAAGAAGGAAGGAAGAAAAGAAGAAAAGAAAGGAAGGAAAGAAAGAAGGAAAAAGAAAGAAAAAGGGGGAAGGAGAGAAAAATAGAGGGAAGAAAATTATATAAATGATGATTTAAAGAAATTGGAAAAAAGCAAAAATTAGATGAAGGAAGAGAGAGGAAAGAAAAATGTAATTAAGGTAATAAAATAGGGATTGAAGGGAAGTGGTTAGATGTAGATAAATAGAAGAGATGGAGAGATGAAAGAAGAGATAGAGAGAGACAGATAGAACAGAAGGAAAGAAAAAAGGATGGAAGAAGAAGAGAAGGAAGGGAAGAAGGAGGAAAGAAGGAAGAAGAGGAAAGAGGAAGAGAAAAATGTAAAGGAATGAAAGTAATGATAGAATTTGACATAAGAAAAATAAAGAAAAGAAATATTGTGAGTACAGATAAGATAGTACTCATAAGATAAATAAAAATTGGTTAAGTAATCAGGTTAGTCGAAGTTACATACATTATATAATATTAATTGAAAGAAAATGGGAAAGAAGGACTGATCTAAGTCAATAAAAAATGTAATGTAAGGAATGAAATATTTATTTGAATTAATTGTGAATATGTAGTACGAAAGTACTTGATTTAATTAAAGCTATATGAATGCAAAGGGAGACAGCGAACTAGAGAAGTAAAAATTTTTATTCATGCAGACTTTATAATAAAGAGTGGATGTAACTCCAATGTTTAAAGACAGGGAGTATATCATTAATTGCAGGTATAAAGTAAATACCCAATAATTACTTCAGCCAGATTTACGTTTAATTCATGTTGGAACACTTTAGCAGCAAATAGGATGGCATTATAATTTCAACTATAATTAAGAAAATCACTGCATAATATCCCGAACATTTTGTAAGGAGTCGCAAGTGTATATCTAATTAACGATGTTAATTAATGACAAAATAAGTAATAATATAACTTTATTGTTAAATACAAAATGTTTCCCTAATTAAATTAATATAATAATTCCAATACAATTACATAAATTAAATCTGGAATTAAATCTAATATATACATCATATAGAACATACACTTGTGGAATGACGGACAGCTTTCATAGATAATTCAGAAATTATATAAATAGTTTATTGAAATAAAATTGGAAAAGTACGGAAGGGAATAATTCAAGGATTAATTATATAATGAAAGTAAAAAAGTTAATTAGTTCATCAATCTGGCTTTATTCCGTTGGGAAGAAGAAAGAGGGAGAAAGAAGAAGGAAAAAAAAGAGAGACAGCAGAAGAGAAAGAAAAAGGGGGAAGGAAGGAAAGAGATAGAGAAGGAGGAGAAGGAAAGATGGGAAGGAAGGAAGGAGGGAAAGAAGGAGAGAAAGAGGGAAGGTTGGCCACAGCAAATAAAAAGTGAAAGAAGGAAGGAAACATGGAGGGAAGAAAGGAGGTAAAGGAAGAAAGGGGGAGGGAATGAAGGAAAGAGAGAAGGATGAAACCAAGTAGTGAAAGAAGGAAAGAAAGAAAGAGGTAGAGAAGGAAGAAAGGAGAGAAAAGGGGAGAAAAAGGGGGAAGGAATAGGTAGGTACCTCTCTTTCATAATAGACCAGATATCTACCTCTACTTTGAAAAGATTTACTATAGGCCACAGCAACGCGTGGCAGGGCACAGCTAGTTTTGTATATTGCAGGTGATTATTATTATTATTATTATTATTATTATTATTATTATTATTATTATTTGGACTATTGGCCTCTGGTGTGGTACTGGGTGAGAGGTGTCTCTGGGCTAGAGTGCCACACAGAGCTCAAATGTGCTTATTCAAGTGGTGCGCAAATAAATAAAGTCAGAAACTTGATATGAAATCTCTGCTAACTAATGATCAGGACTCTGCAGTTTTTTGGATCGGAACTAACTGCTTGCCTTTGAGACAGTCTGTCCCATTGCACGGCTGGAGGGGGCTGTGAGAAGAGATGGATTCCCTTACTTACTTAGCAGGGATGTTGTGTATGTTTACTCTTCTCTTACAGCCCCGCAACACAAATTGCAAAATACAGTGTAGATGCACCCTTAGGGATGCCAAGGTTAGAAACAAAACGGTGACTTACGTTGGTGCGCAAGCTTCGCCTCCCTTCGCTGCGCATTTGGACCTCCTCGGTGGGTTTCCGAGGCTCTTGCGGGTCCGAGGATCCCCCAAAAGCGATGGCATCCTTCTGACAAAAAGAACGACACAGAAAGAAGGACATAGAGAGTGGGCGGATCGTAGAGAACAAATCTAACACACTGTGCAGTCACAAAATTTGGGTGCCACATTAATGTCCTTCCCTAGCGTTGCGTAAGTTTGGAGAGATGGCGGAAACAGAAGAACGGCCTGCCTCAGCGGAGCATGCTTGCCCCATCCATGTTCAACATCTACACAAATGACCAGCCACTGCCAGAAGGGACAGAGAGCTTCATCTATGCTGATGATCGTGCCATCACCACTCAAGCAGGGAGCTTTGAGATGGTAGAACAGAAGCTCTCCGAAGCTCTAGGTGCTCTTACTGCCTATTACAGGGAAAACCAGCTGATCCCTAATCCATCTAAAACACAGACATGTGCCTTTCATCTTAAGAACAGACAAGCATCCCGAGCTCTGAGGATTATGACCTGGGAAGGAATCCCACTGGAGCATTGCAGCGCGTCCAAATACCTGGGAGTCACTCTGGACCGTGCTCTGACCTACAAGAAGCACTGCCTGAACATCAAGCAAAAGGTGGGTGCTACAAACAATATCATACGAAAGCTGACTGGCACAACCTGGGGATCACAACCAGACACAGTGAAGACATCTGCCCTTGCGCTATGCTACTCTGCTGCTGAGTACGCATGCCCAGTGTGGAACACATCTCACCACACTAAAACAGTGGATGTGGCTCTTAATGAGACATGCCGCATTATCACGGGGTGTCTGCGCCCTACACCACTGGAGAAATTACACTGCTTAGCCGGTATTGCACCACCTGACATCCATCAGGAAGTGGCAGCCAATAGTGAAAGGACCAAGGCAGAGACATCTCCAGCTCATCCCCTGTTTGGGTATCAGCCAGCACGTCAACGACTTAAATCAAGAAATAGTTTTCTAAGATCTACAGAGACACTCGCTGGAACACCTCAGCAGGCGAGAGTCCAAAAGTGGCAGGCTCAAACCCAGAACCTCAACCAATGGCTGATACCAAATGAGAGACTCCCCCCTGGGCACACAGAAGACTGGGCGACTTGGAAGGCGCTGAACAGACTGCGCTCTGGCACCACGAGATGCAGAGCCAACCTTCAGAAATGGGGCCACCAAGTGGAGTCCACGACATGCGAGTGTGGAGAAGAGCAAACCACTGACCACCTGCTGCAATGCAACCTGAGCCCTGCCACATGCACAATGGAGGACCTTCTTGCGGCAACACCAGAGGCACTCCAAGTGGCCAGATACTGGTCAAAGGACATTTAATCAACTACCAAACTCACAATTTTTGTATTTTGTCTGTTTGTTTGCTTTGTTCTGTTAGAAATGTAATATAATGGACTGGCTGCCCTGACACGAGAAATAAATAGGCTTGGTTGATCAAGAAAAAAAATGGTTCCAAACTCATTTTTTATATAGGGGGTGCTGGCGGTTCGATTTTGAAATTATTTCCAAAATTGGAAATACCAGGAAATACGAACTGCTTCCTTTGTTTCGTTAATGGAAGGTGCATTGGCGGCTTTGCGAGGTGGGCATGGCTACGCCCAGCTCTTCCGCATCGCCGCTTGTCGCCAGGGAGGTAGCCACGCCCACCTCGCAAAGCCGCCGATGCAAAAAGGAAGGAGGTGGGCGTGGGTAAGAACAGCTGTTCCTGAAGGCCACGCCCCCAGCATTGACGATTCACTAGCGGAAGCCGTAAGGAAGGTGGCAGACGCGGCTTCGATATGGCAAAAACAGTTCCGGGTTGCCAAAACGCGTCGATATCGCTTCAAAAGGTAATTTATTTACGATTTCATTACGAGTTAAGAAACTTACAACTTGGATCAACCAACCCTAGTAGAGATAGTAGGCTTGGACGATCCAGTTCGTTAATTTCGTAATTCGTTATTAATTCGTATTTAAATGAGCTTACGATCCAATATCGAACCATGCAGGAATAGCGTGAGGAGTAATTAAGAATCGAAACATTTTTTCCAATTTTCGTAATTATTTCGTAATTATTTTGTAATTATTTTCGTATGTCTGGTGCAAGTTTTACAATCTCGCATTTACCCCACTTCTGGTCCCTTTGCTCTGCTGCTTCCCTCCTCTTTCCTCACGCTTCTTCTTGCCTCACTCTAATATAATATAATATAATAATATAATATAATATAATATAATATAATATAATATAATATAATATAATATAATATAATATAATATATAATAATATAAAATAATATATATAAATATAATAAAATATAATATAATAAAATAATATAATATAATATAATATATAATATATAATAATATATTATATTATATTATATTATTATAATACTATTATATTATAGTATTGTATATATTATATTATTATATATTTTATTACTATTTTATTATATTATATTATAATTGTATAATATAATATAATATAATATAATATAATATAATATATATAATATATTATAATAATATAATATACAATAATATTTATAATATAATATAATAATATATAATATATAATATAATATAATATATTATACTATTATATTATAGCATTGTATATATTATATTATATTATTATATTATATATTTTGTTACTATTTTATTATATTATATTATAATTGTATAATATAATATAATATAATATATATAATATATTATAATAATATAATATAATAATATTATATAATATAATATATAATAAAGAGGAATTGTGGAGGGAGGGCGGTGTATGTGGCAGCGTTCTGATTGGCTGCCACTGTGGTGCTATTTGCATATGGTCTCTGATTGGGCAGCTTCAACAGGAGCCCCTGGTGGAGAAGAGGGTTCATGACAGAAACGGGGACATGACAGAAGGAAATTTGCATATGGTCTCTGATTGGCCAGCCTCAAATCCAACATTCCGAGATGACAGAAAAGGAAAAGGCCAAAGGGGGCTGGGTCAGAACACTACCAATACAGACTGAAACTGGCACACAGAGCCCCCATCACCCACTCTACATCCTACTGCAGTTTGGAGGACTATGAACCATGGATGATGGGACTTGCAGTACCACCACTCACATTCTGAGACCGCTGTTAACCTTATCCAATGACTGATCAGGACCAAACTTCGCACAGAGACCTCTCATGACCCACTTTACGTCCTGGTGTGGTTTGGCTGGGGATGGACCGTGGATTATGGGACTTGCAGTACCAATGCTCATTCTTCAGACCACTGCAACCCTCATCCAATTACCAAAAAATACCAAACTTGGCACACTGAGTCTCCATGACGCACTCTACATCCAGGTGCAGTTTGAAGGAGGATGCACCATGGACGATGGGACTTGCAATACCTGCACTCCCTTCCTAAGACCATTATAACTGCCAACAATGATGGATCAGGACCACAATTTACACAGAGAGTCCGCATAACTCACTTTATATCCTGGTGCGGTTTGGAAGAATTTGACAATGGATGATGGGACTTGCAGTCACTTCACTCACTTCCTGAGACCACTGAGACCCACGCCAATGACTCATCAAGACTAAACTTGGCACATGGAGCTTCAATGACCCACTCTACATCCTGGAGCAGTTTGGAGGACGACAGACCATGGATGATGGGACTTCAAGTACCTCCACTACCCAAGACTGCTGCAAAACTCATCTAATGACCAATCAAGACCAAAGTTGGCACACAGAGCCCCCATGACCCACTCTACATCCTGCTGCAGTTTTGGAGAAGGGTGGACCATGGATGATGGAACTTCCAGTACCTTCACTCACATTCTGAGACCTCTGCAAACCTCATCCAATGACGGATCAACACCAAACTTGGCACATAGACCTCTCATGACCCACTTTACGTCCTGGTGTTATTTGGAAAACTTTGGAGATGGATGATGGGACTTGCAGTACCTTTGCTCATTTCCTGAGACCACTGAGACCCTCGCCAATGACTAATCAAGACTAAACTTGCCACATGGAGCTCCAATGACCCACTCTACATCCTGGTGCAGTTTGGAGGAGGACAGACCATGGATGATGGGACTTCAAGTACCTCCACTCCCTTCCAAAGATTGCTGCAACCCTCTTCTAATGACCAATCAAGACCACACTTGGCACACAAAGCCCCCATGATCCACTCTACATCCTGCTGCAATTTGAAAGGGGATGGACTTTGGATGATGGGACTTGCAATACCTTCACTCACTTACTGACACCACTGCCACCCTCATCTAATGACTGATAAAGACCAAACTTGCCATACAGAACCGCCATTACCCACTTTCTCTAATAACCCGGGCAACGCCGGGTCCCCAAGCTAGTTTATAATATAATATAATAATATATAACATAATAATATAATATAATATATTATAATACTATTATATTATAGCATTGTATAATATTATATTATTATATTATATATTTTATTACTATATTATTATATTATATTATAATTGTATAATATAATATAATATAATATAATATATATAATATATTATAATAATATAATATACAATAATATTTATAATATAATATAATAATATATAATATAATAATATAATATAATATATTATACTATTATATTATAGCATTGTATATATTATATTATATTATTATATTATATATTTTATTACTATATTATTATATTATATTATAATTGTATAATATAATATAATATAATATAATATAATATAATATATATTATATATAATATAATAATATAATAATAATATAATAGACAATAATATAATATAATAATATTATAATACAATATAATGTAGTTGTTGTTTGTTTTATCACACCAACAGTCAACAACAGAGGGAGAGGGAAGCTTCAGAAGTTGCCCCTCTCCTATTTGGAGGATAATAATAATATAATATAATATAATATAATATACAACAATATAATATAATATACAATAATATAATATAATAATATTATAATAATATAATATAATAATATTATAATAATATAATATAATATAATAAATATAATATAATATAATATAATATAATATAATATAATATAATATAATATAATATAATATAATATAATATAATATAATATAATATAATATAATATAATATAATATAATATAATATAATATAATATAGTTGTTTGTTTTATCACACCAACAGTCAACAACAGAGGGGGAGGGAAGCTTCAGAAGTTCCCCCGGTCCCATTTGGAGGGTTTTTTTAGCATATTGCGCAATTGCGTCCGCCATTAACGAATCGATTCGTAATTTACGAAATTTCGGAAATTTCGAAATTTCGAAATCTTAAATTTCGGAAGTCCTCAGAATTTAGAAACGCTAGCGCACCCTAGAAACGAAACGAGTTTAGCACCAATTTTTTTCTTGATCGCCCAAGCCTAGTAGATAGAGATATTATATAAATAATATCTAATATTATTTAATAATTATAATATAATATTATAATATAATATAATAATAATTATAATTTAATATTATTTAATAATATACAAACTGAAATTAAATCCAGACAAGACAGAGGCACTCCTGGTCAGTCGCAAGGCCGAACAGGGTATAGGGTTACAGCCTGTGCTGGACGGGGTCGCACTCCCCTTGAAGGCGCAGGTTCGCAGCTTGGGTGTGACCCTTGATTCATCTTTGAGCCTGGATCCCCAGGTTTCAGCGGTGACCAGGGGAGCATTTGCACAGCTTAGGCTCGTGCGCCAGCTGCGCCCGTATCTTGGGAAGTCTGACTTGGCCACGGTGGTACACGCTCTGGTCACATCCCGCCTTGACTACTGCAACGCTCTCTACGTGGGGCTGCCCTTGAAGACGGCCCGGAAGCTTCAGCTAGTCCAGCGCGCGGCAGCCATGTTACTAATGGGAGCGGGACGCAGGGAGCACACAACGCCCTTGTTGTCCCAGCTCCACTGGCTGCCGATCTGCTACCGGGCCCAATTTAAGGTGCTGGTGTTATCCTACAAAGCCCTAAACGGTTCCGGCCCAAAATACCTTTCGGACCGCATCTCGGCCTATGAGCCCACGAGGGCCTTGAGATCGTCTGGGGAGGCCCTTCTCTCGATCCCGCCTGCCTCACAGGCACGTCTTGGCGGGGACGAGAGAGAGGGCCTTCTCGGTGGTGGCCCCCCGGCTGTGGAACACCCTCCCTGTTGACATCAGACAGGCGCCCTCCCTTATGGCTTTCCGTAAGAGCCTAAAGACCTGGCTATTTGAGAAGGCATTTAACTGAGTGCTATATTAACTGGTAATGACAACTGGAACGGAATATGGACTATGAGATTGGTTATGATTCTATGTTGTGACGATGCGGATTAGTTAGTGTAATTTAGATTAGTGTGTATTATTGATATGTTGATTTCTTGTTGTGCTTTATTGTAAACTGTTTTTATATGTTGTACACCGCCGCGAGTCGCCCTAGGGCTGAGAGCGGCGGTCAACAAATGCAGCAAATAAATAAATAAATAATAAATATAAGACATAAAGCGACTCATTGATAGGTTTATTATTATTTGAAACACAACAAGATTAGTATACAGCAAACAAGATCACTATGCGGTCTGTTGTATTGGATCACATGTCTAGGACTGTGTGATGTATTGGCGAATAATGTGTGCAGGGTGGCCTTACCTACAAAGATGCAGGTGCTTACCTAGAAAGCCCTAAACAGTTTGGGACCCATCTACCTGCGTGACCGCATTTCTGTATACGAACCCACACGATCTCTTTGTTCATCTGGAGAGGCCCTGCTCACGATCCCACCTGCGTCGCAAGCGCAATTGGTGGGAACGAGGGACATGGCCTTCTCGGTGGTGGCCCCACGACTCTGGAACTCCCTCCCCAAGGACATCAGGCATGCCCCAACGTTGGCAGTCTTTAGAAGGAGCTTGAAATTTTAATCATTACATTTGGCCCTGCCACAGGTTTTTAAATGTGTCGTCATATTATTGTTATTGTTTTGCTTTGTTATGAGTTATTTATTGTTGTATTGTTGTTATGTTTTATTGATGTATTTGGGCTCGGCCTCTTGTAAGTCGCGCCAAGTCCTGCGGGAGATGGTAGCGGGGTATAAATAAAGGTTGTTGTTATTATTATTATTATTATTATTATTATTATTATTATTATTATTATTATTTTGCAGCTGACAGGTGGTAATTTTGTCAGCGCTGATTGTGTTTAAGTCTAGGCCAGGGTCTTTAGGCACTGCACCCAGTGTGCCGATCACCACTGGGACGACCTTTACTGGCTTGTGCTAATATTTTCACAAACCCCAATGACATCTAGACATTTGATAATCCGACAATGTGGCAGTGAATCAAATGCTTTATTATTATTATTATTATTATTATTATTATTATTATTATTATTGGACTTACGCTCGAGCTCCGGAAGGAGAGGAAAGGGATCAGAGGTCCTTGGTGCTTGGAGCCTGCAAGAAAAAAAAGGAGGAGAACACAATGGTTGGCGTCACCCTGACCTGGCAAGAATATCATAGTACTTACTAGAGGTGTGCAACATTTCGAGGGGCAAATCGAGGAAGCTCTTTCTCAGCCAATTACAGAAGGATGGACCATGGACGATGGGACTTGAAGTACCTCCACTCACTTCCCGAGACCGCTGCGACCCTAATCCAATGACTGAGCAAGACCAAACTTGGCACATAGAGCCCCCATGACCCATTCTACATCCTGGTGCAGTTTGGAGGAGGATGGACCATGGACAATGGGACTCGCAGTACCTCCACTCACTTCCCGAGACCGCTGCGACCCTCATCCACTTACTAGAGGTGTGCAACATTTCGAGGGGCAAATCGAGGAAGCTCTTTCTCAGCCAATTACAGAAGGATGGACCATGGACGATGGGACTTGAAGTACCTCCACTCACTTCCCGAGACCGCTGCGACCCTAATCCAATGACTGAGCAAGACCAAACTTGGCACATAGAGCCCCCATGACCCATTCTACATCCTGGTGCAGTTTGGAGGAGGATGGACCATGACGATGGGACTTGAAGTACCTCCACTCACCCGAGACCGCTGCGACCCTCATCCAATGGCTGAGCAAGACCAAACTTGGCACATAGAGCCCCCATGACCCATTCTACATCCTGGTGCAGTTTGGAGGAGGATGGACCATGGACAATGGGACTCGCAGTACCTCCACTCACTTCCCGAGACCGCTGCGACCCTCATCCAATGACTGATCAAGACCAAACTTGGCACACAGAGCCCCCATGACCCACTCTACATCCTGGTGCAGTTTGCAGAAGGATGGACCGTGGACGATGGGACTTGCAGTACCTTCACTAACTCCCTGAGAGCACTGCGAGCCACATAAATAACTGATAAAGACCAATCTTGACACACAATGCCTTTCTCAAGTAACCCGGGCACCGCCGGGTCCCCAAGCTAGGAAATGTAATAATAATACTACTCATTTCCACTTAATTCCAAGGAGGCCTCTGCTGGACGAGTGCCTGGCCGTTGTGTCTATCTGTATGAGGAGGAACAAGCTGAAGATCAATCCCAACAAGACAGAGGTCCTCCTGGTCGATCGTAAACCTGACCGGGGTATAGGGTGGCTACCTGTGTTGGGCGGGGTTGCACTCCCCCTGAAGCCACAGGTCCGCAGTTTGGGAGTCCTCTTGGATTCATCGCTTACGCTTGAGGCTCAGGCGTCGGCGGTGTCCGGGAGGGCTTTGCACAATTGAGACTCGTGCGCCAACTGCGACCGTACCTCGCGAAGGCTGATCTGGCCGGGGTGGTCCATGCCTTGGTCACCTCTAGGTTGGATTACTGTAATGCGCTCTACGTGGGGCTGCCCTTGGAAACGGCTCGGAAATTCCAACTTGTCCAACGAGCAGCGGCCAGGATGTTAACTGGTGCTCCTTACAGAGAGAGGTCAACCCTCCTGTTTAAGGAGCTCCACTGGCTGCCGTTTACCTACCGAGCCCAATTCAAGGTGCAGGTGCTTACCTACAAAGCCCTAAACGGTTTGGGACCTGCCTACCTGCGTGACCGCATCTCCGTATATGAACCCACGCGCTCCCTCCGTTCATCTGGAGAGGCCCTCCTCGTGATCCCGCCTGCGTTGCAGGCGCGTCTGGCTTCGAACTGGCCAACCTTTCTATTGCTGCTGGTGATTTATCAGCTGTGCTACATCCCGGCCCCTATTAATAATGGATTCATTAATAGGGGCCGGGCTGTAGCACAGCCACGAACTGCTTAGGTGGACAGTGAGCTGGGCTGACAGTTGGATGCTCACCCCGACCTGGGCTTCGAACTGGCCAACCTTTCTATTGCTGCTGGTGATTTACCAGCTGTGCTACAGCCCAGCCCCTATTAATAATGGATTCATTAATAGGGGCCGGGCTGTAGCACAGCCACGAACTGCTTAGGTGGACAGTGAGCTGGGCTGACAGTTGGATGCTCACCCCGACCTGGGCTTCGAACTGGCCAACCTTTCTATTGCTGCTGGTGATTTACCAGCTGTGCTACAGCCCAGCCCCTATTAATAATAGATTCATTAATAGGGGCCGGGCTGTAGCACAGCCACGAACTGCTTAGGTGGACAGTGAGCTGGGCTGACAGTTGGATGCTCACCCCGACCTGGGCTTCGAACTGGCCAACCTTTCTATTGCTGCTGGTGATTTACCAGCTGTGCTACAGCCCAGCCCCTATTAATAATGGATTCATTAATAGGGGCCGGGCTGTAGCACAGCCACGAACTGCTTAGGTGGACAGTGAGCTGGGCTGACAGTTGGATGCTCACCCCGACCTGGGCTTCGAACTGGCCAACCTTTCTATTGCTGCTGGTGATTTACCAGCTGTGCTACAGTCCCAGCCCCTATTAATAATGGATTCATTAATAGGGGCCGGGCTGTAGCACAGCCACGAACTGCTTAGGTGGACAGTGAGCTGGGCTGACAGTTGGATGCTCACCCCGACCTGGGCTTTGAACTGGCCAACCTTTCTATTGCTGCTGGTGATTTACCAGCTGTGCTACAGCCCGACCCCTATTAATAATAGATTCATTAATAGGGGCTGGGCTGTAGCACAGCCGGAAATCACCAAGAGCAATAGATCACTGCTAACTGAAAGGTTGCCAGTTCGAAGCCCAGGTCGAGGTGAGCACCCGACCGTCAGCCCAGCTCCCTGTCCATTATTATTATTCACGCTTGACCGCCAAGTGCAGTACCTAATTTCTCTACTTACAGGCGCGTCTGGTGGGGACACGAGACAGGGCCTTTTCCGTGGTGACCCCCCGTCTCTGGAATACCCTCCCCAAAGATCTTAGACAGGCCCCTACACTGGTAGTCTTCAGAAAGAACTTGAAGACCTGGCTGTTCCGATGTGCCTTCCCCGAATAGGAAATCTCCAAGACCAAGTCCCAGAAGCACTTTATGAGAATTGAAGACTGCCGCACACTGCACACTGCACTTGCCTTATAATATCACCTGTCACATCAGCACTTCTTAACCCTGCACCCTTTACTCTGGCCCGGCCGAGTTTGATCTTGTGGATGTACTGTTTATTGCTTGTGGTTCTTTGTTGTTTAATACTGCTTTAATTGTTTTTAATTTGCTTTAAGTGTATTGTCATGTTGTGTGTTGAGGCCTCGGCCTTTGTGAGCCGCATCGAGTCCTTCGGGAGATGCTAGCGGGGTACAAATAAATATTTAATAATAATAATAATAATAATTAATAATTAATAATAATAACTACAGAGTCAAATAATAAACCATTTTGACCCGTGTATAAGCCAAGGGGGGCTTTTTCAGCCTACTCACCTTCCAACGCCTGGGCCTTGAGTTCTCCTTTGGTCTTCTCCACTTCCAGGCGCAGCGCCCGGTTCTCCTTCTGTGCCTCCTGCAACTGGCTTTGGGACACACCGATGGGGTCCGGAAGGGCAAACGGGGAGAAACGGGAGGGAAATGTTATTCTATTGCAATATCCAGTGTCACTGAAACAGACAGGACAAATAGACAGACAGAGGTATGCTGTGTCGACATTCAACTTCGGCGTCCTGGATGTTGTGCTCGATTCCGATCACAGGGGTGCGCTGTTGCTCCATCCTCATCACAGACTTCCTCCTTCATTTTGGTCGCCAGCATTTCCGGTATTTCCTTTTATGGTGTTGTAAAATACCTTTCCCTGCTTTTAAGCGGTACCTAATTCCTCTACTTACAGCTAATCAAGCTGTTCTCGAACTGCTTAGGTGGACAGTGAGCTGGGCTGACAGTCGGGTACTCACCTCAACCTGGGCTTCGAACTGGCCAACCTTTCTATTGCTGCTGGTGATTTATCAGCTGTGCTACATCCCGGCCCCTATTAATAATGGATTCATTAATAGGGGCCGGGCTGTAGCACAGCCACAAACTGCTTAGGTGGACAGTGAGCTGGGCTGACAGTCGGGTACTCACCCCGACCTGGGCTTCGAACTGGCAACCTTTCTATTGCTACTGGTGATTTACCAGCTGTGCTACAGCCCGGCCCCTATTAATAATAGATTCATTAATAGGGGCCGGGCTGTAGCACAGCCGGTAAATCACCAGCAGCAATAGATCACTGCTAACTGAAAGGTTGCCAGTTCGAAGCCCAGGTCGGGGTGAGCACCTGACTCGAATTCACCCCGACCTGGGCTTCGAACTGGCCAACCTTTCTATTGCTGCTGGTGATTTACCAGCTGTGCTACAGCCCAGCCCCTATTAATAATGGATTCATTAATAGGGGCCGGGCTGTAGCACAGCCACAAACTGCTTAGGTGGACAGTGAGCTGGGCTGACAGTCGGGTACTCACCCCGACCTGGGCTTCGAAATGGCAACCTTTCTATTGCTACTGGTGATTTACCAGCTGTGCTACAGCCCAGCCCCTATTAATAATAGATTCATTAATAGGGGCCGGGCTGTAGCACAGCCGGTAAATCACCAACAGCAATAGATCACTGCTAACTGAAAGGTTGCCACTTCGAAGCCCAGGTCGGGGTGAGCACCCAACTGTCAGCCCAGCTCACTGTCCATTATTATTATTATTATTATTATCAGCTCTCAAGCTGTTTTCGAACTGCTTAGGTGGACAGTGAGCTGGGCTGACAGTCGGGTACTCACCTCAACCTGGGCTTCGAACTGGCCAACCTTTCTATTGCTGCTGGTGATTTATCAGCTGTGCTACATCCCGGCCCCTATTAATAATGGATTCATTAATAGGGGCCGGGCTGTAGCACAGCCACAAACTGCTTAGGTGGACAGTGAGCTGGGCTGACAGTCGGGTGCTCACCCCGACCTGGGCTTCGAACTGGCCAACCTTTCTATTGCTGCTGGTGATTTACCAGCTGTGCTACAGCCCAGCCCCTATTAATAATGGATTCATTAATAGGGGCCGGGCTGTAGCACAGCCACAAACTGCTTAGGTGGACAGTGAGCTGGGCTGACAGTTGGATGCTCACCCCGACCTGGGCTTCGAACTGGCCAACCTTTCTATTGCTGCTGGTGATTTACCAGCTGTGCTACAGCCCGACCCCTATTAATAATAGATTCATTAATAGGGGCCGGGCTGTAGCACAGCCGGTAAATCACCAGCAGCAATAGATCACTGCTAACTGAAAGGTTGCCAGTTCGAAGCCCAGGTCGGGGTGAGCACCCGACTGTCAGCCCAGCTCACTGTCCATTATTATTATTATTATTATTATTATTATTATTATTATTATTATTGCTCACTGCTCGACCGGCAAGTGCTCATTAATAGGGGCTGGGCTGTAGCACAGCCGGAAATCACCAAGAGCAATAGATCACTGCTAACTGAAAGGTTGCCAGTTCGAAGCCCAGGTCGAGGTGAGCACCCGACCGTCAGCCCAGCTCCCTGTCCATTATTATTATTCACGCTTGACCGCCAAGTGCAGTACCTAATTTCTCTACTTACAGCTCTCAAGTTGTTTTCGAACTGCTTAGGTGGACAATGAGCTGGGCTGACAGTCGGGTACTCACCCTGACCTGGGCTTCGAACTGGCAACCTTTCTATTGCTGTTGGTGATATACAGCCCGACCCCTATTAATAATAGATTCATTAATAGGGGCCGGGCTATAGCACAGCTGGTAAATCACCAACAGCAAAAATCACTGCTAACTGAAAGGTTGCCAGTTTCGAAGCCCAGGTCAGGGTGAGCACCCGACTGTCAGCCCAGCTCACTGTCCATTATTATTATTATTATTATTATTATTATTATTATTATTATTATTGCTCACTGCTCGACCGGCAAGTGCAGGGGCCAGGCTGTAGCACAGCCGGTAAATCACCAACAGCAAAAATCACTGCTAACTGAAAGGTTGCCACTTCGAAGCCCAGGTCGGGGTGAGCACCCAACTGTCAGCCCAGCTCACTGTCCATTATTATTATTATTATTATTATTATTATTATTATTATTATTATTATTTCTCACCGCTCGACCGCCAAATGCGCCACCTTCAGCTTGCCCAGCTCCTCCTGGACGCTTTGCTTGGCCCGGATCTCGGCCTCCAGAGCCGACTGCAACTCCAACTTGGCTGAAGCCTCCACTTTCTGCAGCCGACGGGCCTTCCAGAGCGTGTCCTGGCCAGGGAAGGCAAAACAAGTCTCGTTTTAGGACCGGGCATATAATCGTATTATTATTATGTGGTAGGCTGACTATATAAAGTAAGCATGGGTGTTTTGGACTTCAACTCCCACAATTCGTAACAGCCGATAGGTTCTGCCATCCATGTCCAAGTCTGGGGGTTGGTGCTCATCTCCATTTCTAAGCCGGCGTTGTCCATAGACATCTCCAAGGTCATGTGGTCAGCATGACTGAATGGAGCGCCCTTACCTTCCCGCCGGAGTGGTATCTATTACTCTAATTACATTTGCATGTTTTCGAACTGCTAGGTTGGCAGAAGCTGGGGCTAACAGCAGGAGCTCACACCGCTCCCCAGATTCGAACCTGCGACCTTTCAGTAAGCAAGTTCAGCAGCTCAGCGGTTTAATCCACTGTGCCACCGGTGGCTCCTGCTTGCTGGATTGTCATTAAAACCTGCTAATGAGAGCTGAAATGGTTGACCTGCCTAGTAAACTGTGATAAGAACTGTGACAGTGATAAGAGAAGTGTCAGCATTTGTCAACATATACTTGTCAGGATTAATTTAGTTATATGTGTGTTTTAAATGTGCTTCTACGTATTTCCAAGATGGATTCTATTGTGTTTTAGAAATGCTGTGCAGAATGTTTATTACTGAGGCTGTGACTATGTAACCTTGAGAGAAGAGAGATAATGTTTGCTCTTGCTGGGAACAGAAGGGAGTAACCCGTCAGAGAGAAGAGAGATAAGCAGATGTGCAGAGACTTTTGCTTTTGACTGATTGTAGCTCGCTGTAGTAAGACGTGTTTGGATGTGCTTAGTAAAACTTCTTTTGTACCTGAAAGCCTGCAGAGTCCTGATTTGAAACACAGCGTCTGCTGATCTAGCAAACCTTCTGCTGCGCACCCCCCAAACTCTGACAATTCTGACCAGAGACAAATGATTAACTGTGGAACTTTTGGGGGGGAACAACATGTTTACATAATTTACATAATGTAAACATTATCAGAGGTAATGGCTCTTTAAGTTAAGTAAATGTTTACAATGTTTACAAGGTCAATACAAGGCTCCTTATGTTTACCAACATCAATTAAAGAGAGTCAACATCTGTCCGGAACTGGGATGAAACCAGGATGTTAAAAATTAAAAGTTGCCAAACTGTTGACATCGATGACTTGTGACAACTTTTGGTGGAAAAACAATGTATTTACTAGGCTTGGGTAACCACGGAAAAATTTGGTTCTAAACTCGTTTTGTTTTTAGGGAGCCCTTGCGTTTCGTTTTTTTTAATAATTCCGAAATTTTCCTTTAAAAAATTTCGAAATTTACGAAATTTCGTAAAATTACGAATCGATTCGTTAATGGCGGACGAGATTGCGCAATATGCTAAAAAAAAACTCCAAATGGGACAGGAGGAACTTCTGAAGCTTCCCTCTCCTCTGTTGTTGACTGTTGGTGTGATAAAACAAACAACAACTATAAAACTTGCACCAGGCATGCAAAAATAATTACGAAATAATTATGAAATAATTACGAAATAATTACAAAATAATTACGAAATAAATTGAAAAAATTGTTTCGAATCTTTATTACTCCTTACACAATTCCTGCATGGCTCAATATTGGATCGTAAGCTAATTTAAATATGAATTAATAACGAATTACGAAATTAACGAACGAAACCGCCCAAGCCTAGTATTTACATTATCGGAGACAATGGCTCTTTAAGTTAAGGAAATGTTTACAAGGTTCCTTATGTTAACACAAGGCTCCTTACGTTTACCAACACCAATTAAAGAGAGTCAACATCTGTCCGGAACTGGGATGAAACCAGGATGTTAAAAATTAAAAGTTGCCGAACTGCTGACATCGATGACTTGTGACAACCTTTGGTGGAAAAACAATGTATTTACATTACACTGTTCAACGGAGAAAAAGTTGCGGGCCTGAAAATAGTTGTTCTTTTATGATTTTGGGGTGCTGAAAACGAAAATGACATTTAAAAATGTATATTGGCTCTAGTTTTTATGATATAAGCAATCATGTGATCACGTATGGTTGAAAAAATGCATGTTGCGACTTACACTATGGAAGATTCTAGAATACTCTAGAAAGTTTGATGACGCAGTATTAGTGTCGTGTGCAAAAGCCAGAAAGCCCTATATAAGGCCAGACTTTTGAACGGTGAGGGTCAGTCAGTTGAAGACTGAGGCAGTATCGTTAAACATCGTTTTACATTGTTCTTTTGACTGTCGTTCTGCCTCGCACGTGTGTCAATAAAGCACTATGGAAAAAAGAGATCAAGGCCAATGGACTCCGTCAATGCTGTCAGCCTCCTGCTGGAGCATTGCAAGAGGGAGTCCTTTCCTTGAATACAAAAGAAAAGTCAAGAGAAGCAAACAGGAGATAAACTAAAGTCACGATTAAAGCGACATTTCAACTTTCAGACTTTTCAACTGCATTAGGCCTACTAATAGAGTTTCTTGCTGCACAAACATAAACAATAGACTAATTAAATAAATATTTCTCATGTATAAACTATTGGCAATATAATTTGACTAAAATTTAGTAAATATTCACGGTTTATATACATGCAGTAAGGTTAAGCGCATTATTGTAATATTAACGAATTACTAGGGCTGGGCGGTTTCGTTTCGTTAATTCGTAATTCGTTAATAATTCGTTAATTTTTTCAATTACAAAACGATAACGAACCATTCTGGAGCAATTTTTAAAAAACGAATTTTCAAAAACGTTTTGTAAATGCTTCGTATTTCGATATTGTATTCGTTTCGTTATTGTTTTGAGGTCGTTTCGTTATTATTTCCGCATGTCTGGGCCAGTTTTATGTTTTAATTAGTGAAAAAAAATTATAATATCACACCAACAGTCAACAACAGAGGGAGAGGGAAGCTTCAGAAGGTTTTGGAGGTTTTTTAGCGTATTTCGCGGTCGCGTCCGCCATTAACGAATCGATTCGTTATTGTTTCGTAAATCGATTCGTTAATTTTTTTACCATTTACGAAATTTCGTAAATATCGAACTTTTTAAAAGGAAAATTTTGTAATTATTTTAAATATCGAAACAAAAAAAACCCCCAAATACAAATCGATTTTAGAAACAAATTTTTCCGTTGTTACCCAGGCCTACGAATTACCTATTGTGGAGAAAATTGAAATAGCTGTTGCATAAAAACCAGAGCCAATTAACACATTTAATTATTATATTTGAATTCAGCATGTTAAATTTATTAAGAAACGGCACATTTCGTTTCCGTAACTGAGAAAAACTGAAAATTTGTAGAACAGTGTTATTGGAGAGAATGGCTCTTTAAGTTAAGGAAATGTTTACAAGGTTCCTTATGTTAACACAAGGCTCCTTACGTTTACCAACACCAATTATAGAGAGTCAACATCTGTCCGGAACTGGGATGAAACCAGGATGTTTCAGGCTTGAAAAATACCCATTGTTCATTTATGACTTTGGAACGACATCAGCAAGAAATATTGCTATATAAGAGACCTTATTACAATCCAAAAATTGTGGTGGAGCGGAGGAGTCTCACCCACTTGCCATACTCTGCTCCGTGGGAAAGACAGAGATGGTGTATGTATTTGCAAGGTGATGTTCTTCTCCAGGAAATGACGGAAGGAGAAACGGTGACGTATGGTGATGGGTAATGTGAATGCTGAGTGAAAATGTAATTCTGTATTGTTTGTTAGCCAATGTAACTGTAGGTTGTTTGTGGATTCAATGTAGTGACACTGAATCTATATGCCTGTCTGTCTAAACATTGCTCTGTCAAAGTTCTGTTACACTTCCTCTTACTCGAAAATTGCAATAAAAAGAACCAATGCTTTAAAGTTATTGAAACGTTATTCATAATACAAGGGAAGACACCATCAAAGCCCTCCCGACAGATGGCCATCCAGCCGCTGCTTAGACACCTCCAGAGAAGATGACGCCCCTGGATTCCCAGACACCGTAATTCCAATAGAGTTATCAGAGACCGCAAATGACCTTCAGTTGGAAGGGACCCCCAAAGGTCATCTAGTCCAAGACCCTTCTATCAGGAAGGAAGACACAATGAATAAATATACCAATCAATCAATCAATCACAGAATCACAGAGTTCAAAGGGGCCCCCAAAAGGTCATCTAGTCCAAGACCCTTCTATCAGGAAGGAAGGCACAATGAATAAATACACCAATCAATCGATCAATCAATCAATCAATCACAGAGTTCAAAGGGACCCCCAAAAGGTCATCTAGTCCAAGACCCTTCTATCAGGAAGGAAGGCACAATGAATAAATACACCAATCAATCGATCAATCACAGAGTTCAAAGGGGCCCCCAAAGGTCATCTAGTCCAAGACCCTTCTATCAGGAAGGAAGGCACAATGAATAAATACACCAATCAATCGATCAATCAATCAATCAATCACAGAGTTCAAAGGGACCCCCAAAAGGTCATCTAGTCCAAGACCCTTCTATCAGGAAGGAAGGCACAATGAATAAATACACCAATCAATCGATCAATCAATCAATCAATCACAGAGTTCAAAGGGACCCCCAAAAGGTCATCTAGTCCAAGACCCTTCTATCAGGAAGGAAGGCACAATGAATAAATACACCAATCAATTGATCAATCAATCAATCAATCACAGAGTTCAAAGGGGCCCCAAAAGGTCATCTAGTCCAAGACCCTTCTATCAGGAAGGAAGGCACAATGAATAAATACACCAATCAATCGATCAATCAATCAATCAATCAATCACAGAGTTCAAAGGGACCCCCAAAAGGTCATCTAGTCCAAGACCCTTCTATCAGGAAGGAAGGCACAAGGAATAAATACACCAATCAATCGATCAATCAATCAATCAATCAATCACAGAGTTCAAAGGGACCCCCAAAAGGTCATCTAGTCCAAGACCCTTCTATCAGGAAGGAAGGCACAATGAATAAATACACCAATCAATCGATCAATCACAGAGTTCAAAGGGGCCCCCAAAGGTCATCTAGTCCAAGACCCTTCTATCAGGAAGGAAGGCACAATGAATAAATACACCAATCAATCGATCAATCAATCAATCAATCAATCACAGAGTTCAAAGGGACCCCCAAAAGGTCATCTAGTCCAAGACCCTTCTATCAGGAAGGAAGGCACAATGAATAAATACACCAATCAATCGATCAATCACAGAGTTCAAAGGGGCCCCAAAAGGTCATCTAGTCCAAGACCCTTCTATCAGGAAGGAAGGCACAATGAATAAATACACCAATCAATCGATCAATCACAGAGTTCAAAGGGGCCCCCAAAGGTCATCTAGTCCAAGACCCTTCTATCAGGAAGGAAGGCACAATGAATAAATACACCAATCAATCGATCAATCACAGAGTTCAAAGGGGCCCCCAAAGGTCATCTAGTCCAAGACCCTTCTATCAGGAAGGAAGGCACAATGAATAAATACACCAATCAATCGATCAATCAATCAATCAATCACAGAGTTCAAAGGGACCCCCAAAAGGTCATCTAGTCCAAGACCCTTCTATCAGGAAGGAAGGCACAATGAATAAATACACCAATCAATCGATCAATCAATCAATCAATCACAGAGTTCAAAGGGCCCCCAAAGGTCATCTAGTCCAAGACCCTTCTATCAGGAAGGAAGGCACAATGAATAAATACACCAATCAATCAATCAATCAATCAATCACAGAGTTCAAAGGGACCCCCAAAAGGTCATCTAGTCCAAGACCCTTCTATCAGGAAGGAAGGCACAATGAATAAATACACCAATCAATCGATCAATCAATCAATCAATCACAGAGTTCAAAGGGACCCCCAAAAGGTCATCTAGTCCAAGACCCTTCTATCAGGAAGGAAGGCACAATGAATAAATACACCAATCAATCGATCAATCACAGAGTTCAAAGGGGCCCCAAAAGGTCATCTAGTCCAAGACCCTTCTATCAGGAAGGAAGGCACAATGAATAAATACACCAATCAATCGATCAATCACAGAGTTCAAAGGGGCCCCCAAAGGTCATCTAGTCCAAGACCCTTCTATCAGGAAGGAAGGCACAATGAATAAATACACCAATCAATCGATCAATCAATCAATCAATCACAGAGTTCAAAGGGACCCCCAAAAGGTCATCTAGTCCAAGACCCTTCTATCAGGAAGGAAGGCACAATGAATAAATACACCAATCAATCGATCAATCACAGAGTTCAAAGGGGCCCCCAAAGGTCATCTAGTCCAAGACCCTTCTATCAGGAAGGAAGGCACAATGAATAAATACACCAATCAATCGATCAATCAATCAATCAATCACAGAGTTCAAAGGGACCCCCAAAAGGTCATCTAGTCCAAGACCCTTCTATCAGGAAGGAAGGCACAAGGAATAAATACACCAATCAATTGATCAATCAATCAATCAATCACAGAGTTCAAAGGGACCCCCAAAAGGTCATCTAGTCCAAGACCCTTCTATCAGGAAGGAAGGCACAATGAATAAATACACCAATCAATCGATCAATCACAGAGTTCAAAGGGGCCCCCAAAAGGTCATCTAGTCCAAGACCCTTCTATCAGGAAGGAAGGCACAATGAATAAATACACCAATCAATCGATCAATCAATCAATCAATCACAGAGTTCAAAGGGACCCCCAAAAGGTCATCTAGTCCAAGACCCTTCTATCAGGAAGGAAGGCACAATGAATAAATACACCAATCAATCGATCAATCACAGAGTTCAAAGGGGCCCCCAAAAGGTCATCTAGTCCAAGACCCTTCTATCAGGAAGGAAGGCACAATGAATAAATACACCAATCAATCGATCAATCACAGAGTTCAAAGGGGCCCCCAAAAGGTCATCTAGTCCAAGACCCTTCTATCAGGAAGGAAGGCACAATGAATAAATACACCAATCAATCGATCAATCACAGAATCACAGAGTTCAAAGGGACCCCCAAAAGGTCATCTAGTCCAAGACCCTTCTATCAGGAAGGAAGGCACAATGAATAAATACACCAATCAATCAATCAATCAATCAATCAATCAATCACAGAGTTCAAAGGGGCCCCCAAAAGGTCATCTAGTCCAAGACCCTTCTATCAGGAAGGAAGACACAATGAATAAATATACCAATCAATTAATCAATCACAGAATCACAGAGTTCAAAGGGGCCCCCAAAGGTCATCTAGTCCAAGACCCTTCTATCAGGAAGGAAGACACAATGAATAAATATACCAATCAATTAATCAATCACAGAATCACAGAGTTCAAAGGGGCCCCCAAAGGTCATCTAGTCCAAGACCCTTCTATCACAATGAATAAATACACCAATCAATCGATCAATCAATCAATCACAGAGTTCAAAGGGCCCCCCCAAAGGTCATCTAGTCCAAGACCCTTCTATCAGGAAGGAAGGCACAATGAATAAATATACCAATCAATTAATCAATCACAGAATCACAGAGCTCAAAGGGGCCCCCAAAGGTCATCTAGTCCAAGACCCTTCTATCAGGAAGGAAGACACAATGAATAAATATACCAATCAATCAATCAATCAATCACAGAATCACAGAGTTCAAAGGGGCCCCCAAAGGTCATCTAGTCCAAGACCCTTCTATCAGGAAGGAAGACACAATGAATAAATACACCAATCAATCGATCAATCAATCAATCACAGAGTTCAAAGGGCCCCCCCAAAGGTCATCTAGTCCAAGACCCTTCTATCAGGAAGGAAGGCACAATGAATAAATATACCAATCAATCAATCAATCACAGAATCACAGAGTTCAAAGGGACCCCCAAAGGTCATCTAGTCCAAGACCCTCTACCAGGAAGGAAGGCACAATGAATAAATACACCAATCGATCGATCAATCAATCAATCACAGAGTTCAAAGGGACCCCCCAAAGGTCATCTAGTCCAAGCTCCTCTTGCCATAAACACAATCAAAGCCCTCCTGACAGATGGTCACTCCACCTCTATTTTAAAAAGGAGGAGGAGGAAACTTCAAGGCAGTTGATATTCTAATTACAATTGGAAGGGATCCCTAAAGACCATCTAGTCCAACCCTCGTCTTCTGCCAGGCAAGGACAGACAATGAAGAAATTAACCAATCACAGAATCTCAGGAGTTGGAAGGGACCCCCAAAGGTCATCCAGTCATACGCCCTTCCTGCCAGGCAGGAAGACACCATCAATGTCCTCCTGACAGATGGCCAGAAAAGAAGTTAGGGTTCTCTTACCGGGGTTTTGGGCCCAGGACTCTGAGTCCCTGCCAGTTTGAGCGCTTCGACCTCCTCCGTCATGCGATTGGCCATCGCTTGCAGATAACCCCGGGATTCTTTCTCGTCGCTCACCCTAAGGACGAAGGAGAGATTCAGAGGGGAAAGCGTTCTGCACATGCTCAGAGGCATTCCCGCTTCCCACTCACCAGCGCAAAATATCCGCAATCTGCATCTCCCAATTGGCAAAGGATGCTTTATCCGCCTCCGAAGGGCTTCCGTCTAGACGGAGGGCGTCAAGGGAGGGCAGGTCCACCTATGGCAGGAAGAGGAGAAAACTGTTGGGATTCAACCCCACACGGCCCAAGTCCCAAGTCTCTGTGCGCTTTGAGATCTCTCTCTCCTTGTGTGTCAAATACACTTTAGTATGGAGTGTATGTGCTGTATGGATAGGATAGGCCACATCAGCACTAGATAAATAGGGATGGACCACACCAGCCCTAGATAAATATGGATAGACCACATCAGCTCTAGATAAATATGGATAGACCACATCAGCCCTAGATAAACATGGATAGACTACATCAGCCCTAGATAAACATGGATAGACCACATTAGCCCTAGATAAATATTGATAGACCACATCAGCTCTAGATACAAATGGCTAGACCACATCAGCACTAGATAAATAGGGATGGACCACACCAGCCCTAGATAAATATGGATAGACCACATCAGCTCTAGATAAATATGGATAGACCACATCAGCCCTAGATAAACATGGATAGACTACATCAGCCCTAGATAAACATGGATAGATCACATTAGCCCTAGATAAATATTGATAGACCACATCAGCTCTAGATACAAATGGATAGACCACATCAGCCCTAGATAAATATGGATAGACCACATCAGCTCTAGATAAATAAGGATATACTACATCAGCCCTAGATAAATAGGGATAGACCACATCAGCACTAGATAAATATGGATAGATCACATCTGCTCTAGATATATATGGAAAGACCACATCAGCCCTAGATAAATATGGATAGACCACATCAGCTCTAGATAAATATGGATAGACCACATCAGCTCTAGATATATATGGATAGACCACATCAGCAGTAGATAAATATGGATAGACTACATCAGCTCTAGATATATATGGATAGGCTACATCAGCCCTAGATAAACATGGATAGACCACATCAGGACTAGATAAATAGGGATAGACCACATCAGCACTAGATAAATATGGATAGATCACATCAGCTCTAGATACAAATGGATAGACCACATCAGCCCTAGATAATTATGGATAGACCGCATCAACCCTAGATAAACATGGATAGACCACATCAGCACTAGATAAATAGGGATAGACCACACCAGCCCTAGATAAATATGGATAGCCCACATCTCTCTCTCCTGAGATCTCTCTCTCCTTGTGTGTCAATTACACTTTAAATTTGCTAAGTAAACAAGGCACATACCTCATCCTCCAAGTTCAAGGCCCTGCGGCTTCCTGCTTTGTTCTTAGGATCGACGTTTTCCCGTCTGTAAGAAAAATGCAAAGACAGTGATTGACGTATATGGCGCACGGGACATCTTAAAACACGCTTCCCTTCTCTAACTCTCACCTGGATGTCTCCACTTGGTCCCGGAGGTGGTCCAGCTCCGTTTGCAGGGCTTCCAGCTCCTTGTCCTTCACCCGCAGAGCCTCCCTCAGGCCTCGAGCCTCTTCTTTGGGGTTGCAGGAGGCGTCCATCGACCGCCGGGATCCTGACCCACGGAAGAGGGCCGTAGTCTGCTTGCTCTGCTGCAAGACGCAAAAGCATGGGATCATAATTGGAAGGCCATCCCTTCTAACCCCCTTCCGCCATAACGGACACTATCTAATCCACTTTGACCAGGGGCCACTCTCCAACATTAGTACCAAAAGGGTGGCAATAGTTTAACAACTGAGAAACCTGTGTGCCATTACATGAACGCTTGTAAATATCACTTGTTCAAAGGGTTTGACTTCTAACAAGGTCATGCTTTTCTTGACTAGCAGTTTAACTCTCCAACATTAGTACCAAAAGGGTGGCAATAGTTTAACAACTGAGAAACCTGTGTGCCATTACATGAACGCTCGTAAATATCACTTGTTCAAAGGGTTGACTTCTAACAAGGTCATGCTTTTCTTGACTAGCGGTTTAACTCTCCAACATTAGTGCCAAAAGGGTGGCAATAGTTTAACAACTGAGTTACCTGTGTGCCATTACATGAACGCTCGTAAATATCACTTGTTCAAAAGGTTGACTTCTAACAAGGTCATGCTTTTCTTGACTAGCGGTTTAACTCTCCAACATTAGTACCAAAAAGGTGGCAATAGTTTAACAACTGAGTTACCTGTGTGCCATTACATGAACGCTCGTAAATATCACTTGTTCAAAGGGTTGACTTCTAACAAGGTCATGCTTTTCTTGACTAGCGGTTTAACTCTCCAACATTAGTGCCAAAAGGGTGGCAATAGTTTAACAACTGAGTTACCTGTGTGCCATTACATGAACGCTCGTAAATATCACTTGTTCAAAAGGTTGACTTCTAACAAGGTCATGCTTTTCTTGACTAGCGGTTTAACTCTCCAACATTAGTACCAAAAAGGTGGCAATAGTTTAACAACTGAGTTACCTGTGTGCCATTACATGAACGCTCGTAAATATCACTTGTTCAAAGGGTTTGACTTCTAACAAGGTAATGCCTTTCTTGACTAGTGGTTTTCAAAATGTGGTCTCCACATGTTCATGGAGAGTCACGTTTGCCAAACGTCCTTTGTACCTTTTTCAAGAAGGTTATGGTGCACTTATTTCCAATAGGTTATGGGATTTCGAATAAATAATAATAATAATAATCTGTTTTTGGTCAACGTCAGATACGGCTTGGTTATTTGGGGTGCTGATTCAGAAAATGGCATTGGCTAGACCACATCAGCTCTAGTTTCTGATGCACCCAGTAGTTGCCATCGGCTCAACCACAGAAAACTATATTTATCTAGAGCTGATGTGGTCTATCCATATTTATCTAGGGCTGGTGTGGTCTATCCCTATTTATCTAGTGCTGATGTGGTCTATCCATATTTATCTAGGGCTGATGTAGTCTATCCATATTTATCTAGAGCTGACATGGTCTATCCATATTTATCTAGGGCTGATATGGTCTGTCCATATTTATCTAGGGCTGATGTGCTCTATCCATATTTATCTAGGGCTGACGTTGTCTATCCATATTTATCTAGGGCTGATGTAGTCTATCCATATTTATATAGCTGATGTAGTCTATCCATATTTATCTAGGGCTGATGTGGTCTATCCCTATTTATCTAGTGCTGATGTGGTCTATCCATGTTTATCTAGTGCTGATGTGGTCTATCCATATTTATCTAGGGCTGATGTGGTCTATCCATATTTATCTAGGGCTGATGTAGTCTATCCATATTTATCTAGGGCTGATGTGGTCTATCCATATTTATTTAGGGCTGATGTGGTCTATCCATATTTATCTAGGGCTAATGTGGTCTATCCATATTTATCTAAGGCTGATGTGGTCTATCTATATTTATCTAAAGCTGATTTGGTCTATCCAATGCAATATTCTGAATTGGCACCCCAAATAAGCCCAGGAACAGGACTGAAAACAAAGACACCAACGTGCTCCCATTTCCAAATTTATCTAGGGCTGATGTAGTCTATCCACATGGAACAGCTCCACTCAGGGGGAGGGAGACGGAGAAGAAGCAGGATTCAGGAGGCTTGTTGTCACACCTTTCATGGGTAGTTAGCCTCTCCCCTCCCACCATACCAGTTGCCAAAAGCTGGTGCTTTGCTTCTAAAGTGTTGCTAAAGTTCTGGTGGTGAAAATTTCAGAACTCTAACAAAACTTTCAAAATTTCATTATTATTTCGTTATTGGCAATTTTAATGAAAGAACCAATCAGGAACTGTCATTTATAATGAAATTTTGAAAGTTTTGTTAGCGTTCTTAAATTTTCACCACCAGAACTTTAGAAACACTTTAGAAGCAAAGCACCAGCGCGCCCGAGTCTTGTAAGTACTTTAGAACCATGGGTTGCCTATGCCCAGGGGCGGCTCAGCCATTACGCATTCTCAGTTGTTTTGTCCTTTTGTGAGTGTGTTGTTGTGTTGTTTTTTATTTTGATTCGATTTGTTTGTACCTTGTGCATGGGAATTTTGGTTTGGCAAAATACTGTTTGCTTACACTTGAAAATTACCTAGGGCCGCCTCTGCCTATGCCTACCCCAAACAACTCACCCTGGACTCTTCCAGTTCGTGTTTGAGCCGCCGGAACTGCTGCTCGGCTCTCTCTTTCCCCTTCCGCTGCTTGGACACTTCGTTCACCAAGCCTTCCATCCGAGCCTCCAGCTGGAAAAGAGCCGAGAAATGCATCAACATCTCTGCAAGGAGAGCTTTGATTGTGAAGTCCTTGATAGGAGGGGAGTGTTGAATGGACTAGATGGCCTTTGGGGCTCCCTTCCAACTCATTTATTTATTGTATTGTCGAAGGCTTTCATGGCCGGAATCACTGGGTTGTTGTAGGTTTTTCCGGGCTATATGGCCATGTTCTGGAGGCAATTTTTCTCCTGACGTTTCGCCTGCATCTATGGCAAGCATCCTCGGAGGTAGTGAGGTCTGTTGGAAGTAGGAAAAATGGGTTTATATATCTGTGGAATGAGCAGGGTGGGACAAAGGACTCTTGTCTGCTGGGGCTAGGTGTGAATGTTTCAGCTGATCACCGTGATTAGCATTCAATGGCTTGGAAGTGCTTGGGGGGAATCTTTTGTTGAGAGTGATAGAATCATAGAATCAAAGAGTTGGAAGAGACCTCCTGGGCCATCCAGTCCAACCCCATTCTGCCAAGAAGCAGGAATATTGCATGCAAATCACCCCTGACAGATGGCCATCCAGCCTCTGTTTAAAAGCTTCCAAAGAAGGAGCCTCCACCACACTCTGGGGCAGAGAGTTCCACTGCTGAACAGCTCTCACAGTCAGGAAGTTCTTCCCAATGTTCAGATGTAGTTTGAAGCCATTGTTCCCCGTCCTAGTCTCCAGGGAAGCAGAAAACAAGCTTGCTCCCTCCTCCCTGTGGCTTCCTCTCACATATTTATCCATGGCTATCATATCTCCTCTCAGCCTTCTCTTCTTCAGGCTAAACATGCCCAGCTCCTTAAGCCGCTCCTCATAGGGCTTGTTCTCCAGACCCTTGATCATTTTAGTCGCCCTCCTCTGGACACATTCCAGCTTGCCAATATCTCTCTTGAATTGTGGTGCCCAGAATTGGACATGATATTGGTCCAGAACTTCTGTGTTCTCAAATAATATGCTGTGTCCAGGTTGGTTCATCAGGTGCTCTGCTATGGCTGATTTCTCTGATTGAAGTAGTCTGCAGTGCCTTTCATGTTCCTGGATTCTTGTTTGGGCCTTGCTGTGTTTGGTGGCCCCTATGTAGACTTGTCCACAGCTGCATGGTATACGGTAGACTCCCGCAGAGGTGAGAGGATCCCTCTTGTCCTTTGCTGAACTGAGCATTTGTTGGATTTTCTTGGTGGGTCTGTAAGTGGTTTGTATGTTGTGTTTCCTCATCAGTTTCCCTCTGCGGTCAGTGGTTCCCTTGATGTTCAACTTCAACAGAAAGGGGGAAACCATGAAAATGAACAAAATCTGGCTACCAGTATTAAAAGACTCAAAAATCACAACAGCAAAACAACAGAGGGGAAACAAATTTATTTATTTATTTACGCTATTTGTATACCGCATTTATCAGCCGTGCCCGGCGACTCAATGCGGTTTACAGTAAAAGTTGTGCACACTAACAATGTAAAGACAAACATAAACAAACGACACACATATAAACATCAACGCCTCACATAAAATCAGATTCCGTTCTCACATTCCATTGCCGTTCCTTGTTCAGTTATGCCGTCTTCCTGGATTTAGTTGCAATTGCACAGCTATCCGAACGCCTGCTCAAAGAGCCACGTCTTAACCCTCCTCCGAAACACCAGCAACGAAGGGGCCTGCCTGATGTCCGCTGGTAGGGCATTCCATAGCCGAGGGGCCACCACCGAGAAGGCACAAACAGGCACATCAAATCACTCTCAACAAGGGATTCCCTCCGGGCACTTCCAAGCCATTGAATGCAAATCAAGGTGATCAGCTGAAACATTCACAGCTAGCCCCAGCAGACAAAAGTCCTTTGTCCACCCTGGTCATTCCACAGATATATAAACCCATTTTCCTACTTCCAACAGACCTCACTACCTCTGAGGATGCTTGCCATAGATGCAGGCGAAACGTCAGGAGAAAATGCCTCTCAGAACATGGCCATATAGCCCGGAAAAACCTACAACAACCCATTTATTTATTAATTATTTTTCTTGTATAGAAGTAACATAGAAAAAGAAACAGAGAATAAATAATACAATAGCTAACCAAAAGTATACATTCAGTGCACCCTGCTGCACCCATTCCCTCCGTCCCCACACCCGTGAACCCACTATTTATTTATTTATTTATTTATTTATTTATTTATTTATTTACCGTCATTATATTCCGCCCTTCTCACCCTGAAGGGGACTCAGGGCGGACCACAGAACATACACATGCGGCAAACGTTTACTACCATTTTATATAGAACTAGACAGATAATGATCCCTTTCTTCTTTCCCTTTTAATTTCTTTCCATTACATACTCCCTATCTCTTCCAACACTCGAGGACAGCGGAACTTGGACAACAAGTTAAACATGAGCCAGGAATGTGATGTGGTGGCAAAAAAAGCCAATGGGATTTTGGCCTGCATCAAGAGGAGCATAGTGTCTAGATCTAGGGAAGTCATGCTCCCCATGCTCTATTCCGCTTTGGTTAGACCACACCTGGAATATTGTGTCCAATTCTGGGCACCACAATTCAAGAGAGATATTGACAAGCTGGAATGTGTCCAGAGGAGGGCGACTAAAATGATCAAGGGTCTGGAGAATAAGCCCTATGAGGAGCGGCTTAAGGAGCTGGGCATGTTTAGCCTGAAGAAGAGAAGGCTGAGAGGAGATATGATAGCCATGTATAAATATGTGAGAGGAAGCCACAGGAGGAGGGCGACTAAAATGATCAAGGGTCTGGAGAACAAGCCCTATGAGGAGCGGCTTAAGGAGCTGGGCATGTTTAGACTGAAGAAGAGAAGGCTGAGAGGAGATATGATAGCCATGTATAAATATGTGAGAGGAAGCCACAGGGAGGAGGGAGCATATCAAGGGTCTGGAGAACAAGCCCTATGAGGAGCGGCTTAAGGAGCCATGTTTAGCCTGAAGAAGAGAAGGCTGAGAGGAGATATGATAGCCATGTATAAATATGTGAGAGGAGGCCACAGGAAGGGGGGCAGATGATCAAGGGTCTGGAGAACAAGCCCTATGAGGAGCGGCTTAAGGAGCTGGGCATGTTTAGCCTGAAGAAGAGAAGGCTGAGAGGAGAGATGATAGCCATGTATAAATATGTGAGAGGAAGCCACAGGGAGGAGGGAGCAGATCAAGGGTCTGGAGAACAAGCCCTATGAGGAGCGGCTTAAGGAGCTGGGCATGTTTAGCCTGAAGAAGAGAAGGCTGAGAGGAGATATGATAGCCATGATAAATATGTGAGAGGAAGCCACAGGGAGGAGGGAAAATGATCAAGGGTCTGGAGAACAAGCCCTATGAGGAGCGGCTTAACGAGCTGGGCATGTTTAGCCTGAAGAAGAGAAGGCTGAGAGGAGATATGATAGCCATGTATAAATATGTGAGAGGAAGCCACAGGGAGGAGGAGGGAGCAAGCTTCCTTTCTGCTTCCTTGGAGACTAGGACGCGGAACAATGGCTTCAAACTACAAGAGAGGAGATTCCATCTGAACATGAGGAAGAACTTCCTGACTGTGAGAGCCGTTCAGCAGTGGAACTCTCTGCCCGGAGTGTGGTGGAGGCTCCTTCTTTGGAGGCTTTTAAACAGAGGCTGGATGGCCATCTGTCAGGGGTGATTTGAATGCAATATTCCTGCTTCTTGGCAGAATGGGGTTGGACTGGATGGTCCATGAGGTCTCTTCCAACTCTTTGATTCTATGATTCTATGATCTTTGGCCACATCATGAGGAGACAGCAAAGCCTAGAGAAGAGAATGATGCTGGGGAAAATGGAAGGAAAAAGGAAGAGGGGCCGACCAAGGGCAAGATAGATGGATGGTATCCTTGAAGTGACTGGCTTGACCTTGAAGGAGCTGGGGGTGGTGACGTCTGACAGGGAGCTCTGGCGTGGGCTGGCCCATGAGGTCACTAAGAGTTGGAAGACTGAACGAATGACAACAACATGATTCTATGATTCTATGATCTCAACCTGGAGGTCGCAGCCCCCAGGGGGGTCGCCTGGCCATTTTGGAGGGGTCGCGAGGCCGCCTCCGTTGGCCCTGCCCCAAGGGACTGGGAGCAGCCCAGCAGCATCAGGAGGAGGAGTAGCTGCAGAAACAGCTTAGGTAATTCACAGGGGCGGCTCAACCATTACGCAAAGTAAGCCTTCGCGGTAGAGTTGATTTTGCCCAGGGGTGCTCTTGAGGCGCTCTTGGGGGAAAATAGACCTTGACATATGTGAGTTGTAGTTACTGGGATGTATAGTTCACCTACAATCAAAGAGCATTCTGAACTCCACCAATGATGGAATTGAACCAAATATGGCACACAGAACTCCCACGACGAACAGAAAATATATATCAGTGATTGGGGGGGGGGGGCCACCAAAATACTGTTTGCTTACCCTTGAAAATTACCTAGGGCCGCCTCTGGTAATTCATCACACTATTTATTAGAAAAAGACAGTCTTTTCTTTTCTCTTTATAAATACTCCCATTCTCTGGATATAGATGAACTACATCTCCCAAACTCAAGGTTAATACCCACCAAACCCTTCAAGTATTTTCTGTTGGTCATATGAGTTCTGTGTGACAAGTTTGGTTCAATTCCATCGTTGGTGGAGTTCAGAACGCTCTTTGATTGTAGGTGAACTATAAATCCCAGCAACTACAACTCCTCAATGACAAAATCAATCTCCCGCAACCCCATCAGAATTCAAATTTGGATGTACCAGGCATGAGGGACTGTATTAAGGGGTCACGGCATCAGGAAGGTTGAGAACCACTGCTCTAGGACTCTATTCTTAGGAAGGAAATAGGGAAGAGGGGAAAGGTAGGGACGATGACAATTCCCCCCTCGAGATGTCCGGTGCTCACCTCTTTGCGTCCGCTTTCGGAGCGCGCCAACTCCTTGCGCAGGCCTTCCACGCGCCGTGCCGCCGCCTCCGTCTCCTCCTGCCGTTCCCGCAGCTGCCGGGAGTGGCGCAAGAGCTGCGCCCGCAACTCGCCACATTTGGCCTCGGCGCCCCGCAGCTCGTCCGCCATCTCCTTTTGCCGCATCTGCTCATCCCGTAGCTCCCACCCTTGGATTCGGAGCTGCTCCTGCATCTCGGCCAGTTCCTGAAAAACACGATGTTGTCGTCATTGTGGGTACCTTTTATTAGGCAGATAATGCTCTGCTTTGTCAAAGGCTTTCATGGCCGGAATCACTGGGTTGTTGTAGGTTTTTTCGGGCTATATGGCCATGGTCTAGAGGCATTCTCTACTGACGTTTCGCCTGTATCTATGGCAAGCATCCTCAGAGGTAGTGAGGTCTGTTGGACCTGGGAAAATGAGTTTATATATCTGTGGAACAACCAGGGTGGGACAAAGGACTCTTGTCTGCTGGAGCTAGGTGTAAATGTTTCAACAGACCACCTTGATTAGCATTTAACTCAGGACATAGAAGACGGCTTTGAAAGGCAGCAGATCACAGGAGCTGTCTTCATAGACCTGTCAGCAGCCCATGAGACTGTGAACCACCAATGCCTCCTCCTGAGAAAAATGTATAATATCACAAAGGACGACCACCCCACCCGCCTCATAGGAAACCTGCTACAAAACAGGAGCTTCTTTGTTGAGTTCCAGGGCCAGAGAAGCAGGTGGCGGAAACAGAAGAACGGCCTGCCTCAGGGGAGTGTGCTTGCTCCATCCAATTTGCTACACAAATGACCAGCCACTGCCAGAAGGGACAGAGAGTTTCATCTATGCTGATGATCGTGCCATCACCGCTCAAGCAGGGAGCTTTGAGGTGGTTGAACAGAAGCTCTCCAAAGCTCTAGGTGCTCTTACTGCCTATTACAGGGAAAACCAGCTGATCCCTACTCCATCTAAAACACAGACATGTGCCTTTCATCTCAAGAACAGACAAGCATCCCGAGCTCTGAGGATTATGACCTGGGAATCCTACTGGATTATTGCAGCGCACCCAAATACCTGGGAGTCACTCTGGACCGTGCTCTGACCTACAAGAAGCACTGCCTGAACATCAAGCAAAAAGTGGGCGCTAGAAAGAATATCATACGAAAGCTGACTGGCACAACCTGGGGATCACAACCAGATACAGTGAAGACATCTGCCCTTGTGCTGTGCTACTCTGCTGCTGAGTATGCATGCCCAGTATGGAACACATCTCACCACGCTAAAACAGTGGATGTGGCTCTTAATGAGACATGTCGCATTATCACGGGATGTCTGCGCCCGACACCACTGGAGAAATTACACTGCTTAGCCGGTATTGCCCCACCTGACATCCGCTGGGAAGTAGCAGCCAATAGTGAAAGGACCAAGGCAGAGACATCTCCAGCTCATCCCTTGTTTGGGTATCAACCAGCACGCCAACGACTTAAATCTAGAAATAGTTTTCTAAGATCTACAGAGACACTCGCTGGAACACCTCAGCAAGCGAGAGTCCAAAAGTGGCAGGCTCAAACCCAGAACTTGATACCCAATGAGAGACTCCCCCCTGGGCACACAGAAGATGGGGCAACTTGGAAGGCGCTGAACAGACCATGAGATGCAGAGCCAACCTCAAGAAATGGGGCCACCAAGTGGAGTCCTTGACATGTGAGTGTGGAGAAGAGCAAACCACTGACCACCTGCTGCAATGCAACCTGAGCCCTGCTACATACCTACCTGACAGGGTTGTTTTGTTTTTCCTCTGACACCTTTGTGACACCAAATTGGGAGGCGTACTCCCAATGGCTGATTTATTATTATACCTGCAAAGCCTCGTTTTTCTCTTGCTCCAGGAACTTCACCCGCTCGTCCAAGGCCTTCAATTGCCCCGATGCGGCTTTGTCGAGTTGCTGCCTTTGCGCTTTGTCGTTCTCCATTTGGTTGTCTAAAAGGACGAGAGGGATTATGGTCTTGGGTCCTTCCAAGCTCAACAGCTTACGAAGCCGGTACTGCTTCGTAAGTACTGCTTGAATATCAAGCAAAATTAGGTGCTAGAAATAATATTGTACGAAAGCTGACTGGGGATCACAACTAGACACAGTTACGGCATCTACCTTTGCACTTTGCTACTCTGCCGCTGAGTACGCATGCCCAGTGTGGAACACATCTCACCACGTTAAAACAGTGGATATGGCTCTTAAGTGGATATGGCATCGATAGGAATCCAGTGCCCAGATCGAAATAGAATAACATTGCGTCTCTTCAAGAAAGAGACGGACGTCCCGCTTACCTGCCAACTGCTTCCGCAAGGCCGCCATCTCATTGTGGAGGCTCTTGATCTCCATATCCTTTGTGGGCATCTTGGAAGGGGATTTCGACTGAGAATCTGTTAGATAGGTAAATCACTTTTAGACAGGTATGCATTGACTGTAACACAGTGTTTCTCAACCTTTCTAATACCATGGCCTATTAATACAGTAAAGTCTCTGCTAACTACTGACCAAAGACTCTGCAGTGTTTTGTTTTTATTTAATTGCTTGCCCTGAGGCAATCGGTCTCATATGCAACACAGGAAGGATATGAGAAAAGGAACTATACATTATATACCTACCTGGCAGGGTTGTTCCTCATGTTGTGGTGACCCCCAACCATAACATCATATCTGTTACTACTTCCATAACTCTAATTTTGCTCCTGTTCTGAATCGTCAGGTAAATATCTGATATGCTGGATGTATTCTCATTCACTGGACTAAATTTGGCACAAATACCCAATACTGGTGGGGTTGGTGGGGGGTTAATTTTGTCATTTGGGAGTTGTAGTTGCTGGGATTTGTAGTTCACAATCAAAATGCATTCTAAGCTCCACCAATGACTGAAATGAACCAAAGTCTGACTTCGGCAGGGTGATCCACGCCTTGGTTACATCCAGACTGGACTACTGCAATGCACTCTACATGGGGCTGCCCTTGAAGATGGCCCGGAAGTTTGAACTGGTACAACGGGCCGCAGCCAAACTATAGGGAGCATACAACACTCCTATTAAAACAGCTTCATTGGCTGCCGATAAGTTGCCGATAAGTTGTCATGACCTATAAAGCCCTAAATGGTTCGGGCCCCGTCAATCTCCGCGATCGCATCTCCTTCTATGAACCGGCACGAACTCTAAGATCTTTCGGGGAGGCCCTCCTCTCAGTCCCACCTCCGTCACAAGCACAGTTGGTGGGAACGAGAGAGAGGGCCTTCTCGGTGGTGGCCCCCCGGCTCTGGAACACCCTTCCAAGGGAAATAAGACAAGCCCCATCCCTTCCCGCCTATCTCCGTGATCGCATCTCCTTCTATGAACCGGCACGAACTCTAAGATCTTTCAGGGAGGCTCTCCTCTCAGTCCCACCTCCGTCACAAGCATGGTTGGTGGGGACAAGAGAGAGGGCCTTCTCGGTGGTGGCCTCCCGGCTCTGGAACGCCCTTCCAAGGGAAATAAGATAGGCCCCATCCCTTCCCACCTATCTCCATGATCGCATCTCCTTCTATGAACCGGCACGAACTCTAAGATCTTTTGGGGAGGCTCTCCTCGCAGTCCCACCTCCATCACAAGCACGGTTGGTAGGGACAAGAGAGAGGGCCTTCTCAGTGGTGGCCCCCCACCTCTGGAATGCCATTCCAAGGGAAATTAGACAGGCCCCATCCCTCCCCGCCTATCTCCATGATCGCATCTCCTTCTATGAACCGGCACGAACTCTAAGATCTTTCGGGGAGGCTCTCCTCTCAGTCCCACCTCTGTCACAAGCACGGTTGGTAGGGACTAGAGAGAGGGCCTTCTCGGTGCTGGTCCCCACCTCTGGAGTGCCCTTCCATCCCTCCCCGCCTATCTTCACGATCGCATCTCCTTCTATGAATCGTCACGAACTCTAAGATCTTCCAGGGAGGCCCTTCTCTCGGTCCCACTACCATCTCAAGTGTGGTTGGTGGGAACGAGAGAGAGGGCCTTCTCGGTGGTGGCCCCCCACCTCTGGAATGTCCTTCCAAGGGAAATTAGACAGATCCCATCCCTCCTCTCCTTTCCTAAGAGCTTGAAGACTTCGTCGTTTCAACAAGCCTTTGAAAATTCAACAAGCCTTTAATAATAATAATAATAATAATAATTATTATTATTATTATTATTATTATTATTATTATTATTATTATTAAACTTGGCACACAGAACTCCCATGACCAACCAAAAACATTGGAAGGGTTTGGTGGGCATGGACCGTTGCGCTCCAGGACAGGAAAAGCCCTCTCACCACACCGTTGATTGGAAAACAATCCTTTTATTGAAGATAATTAAAAAGCAGCAAGTAAAAAAGCACTTTAAAGAAATAGGTAAATCCAATTAGGTAAGAAGATAAGCAGAAGCAAAAATAGTCCAGGGTAAAGTTCAGCAAAGTCCATAAAAACAAAATCCACACTAATATAATTCAGGAAAAACAGGAAACATTAATCCAAGGTATGAGTAGGCATTCATACAATCCAAGAATCCAAACCATGGAACAAGAAATACTTAGGCAAGAATCTCCCAAGCAAGGTTTCCATGAAACAAGGACGAAAACTACATTTGATTCCAATGATGCTTCGTCTGACTATATTTCCCATACTTGGGACTTTTATTCCCTCGTTAAGCTATTCCACGCACTCAGGAATTGGCTTCGCTTTACTTGAGATTCTCTTATCTTTTTCTCTCGGAGCCTGGCAGAACGCCAAAGGCACTGTTCGGCCTTCCTGTTTTGACTAATTTCCTATCGATTTGCTGGGCCAGGAGCCGAGTTGTTTTCAAGCCCCAAATCCTGGGAACTCTCTGGTAGCAATTCAGGGAGCACACCACCATCCCCACACCCTTCAGGGACATTCTTGTGGGAAACTACACTTTGCACAGGGGTCTCCTGGTCCTTCTCTGCACCCTTATCCTGAACTCCAACATGGACTTTGAATTTGGGAGTTGTAGTTGAGTTCACTGTGGACTCAAACAATGATGGATCTGGACCAAACTTGGCATGAATACTCAATTTGCCCAAATGTGGATACTGGTGGAGTTTGGGGAAAATAGACCTTGACATTTGGGAGCTGTAGTTCCAGGGATTTATAGTTCACCTGCAATCAAAGAGCATTCTGAACCCCACCAACGATAGAATGGGGCCAAACTTCTCATGACCAACAGAAAATTGGATGGGTAGGAGTAGGAGACTCCATATTATCCAAAAATTTTGTTTATCCCACGAGTTTGGGGGAAATAGACCTTGACATTTGGGAGCTGTAGTTCCAGGGATTTATAGTTCACCTACAATCAAAGAGCATTCTGAACCCCACCAACGATAGAATGGGGCCAAACTTCTCATGACCAACAGAAAATTGGATGGGTAATAGTAGGAGACTCCATATTATCCAAATTTTTTGTTTATCCCAAGTTCATATCCGATAAGGAAGACTCTATTGTACTTGCATTGCATGCTTTCGAAGTGCTAGGTGGACAGAAGCTAGGACTGACAATTGGGGGCTCAACCTTGCTCGTGGCTTCAAAGTGTTGACCTTCTGGTCAGCAGCCGTTGCAGCAGCTAGCGGTTTTGTGCTACCGCAACCCACCAAACAAATTTCTCTGTAGTTCGGCAGAAAAGGCGAAAGACCTTGTAAAACTACAACTCCCGGGATCTCATAGCAAAGAGGCAGGGCAGTGAAAGTGGGGCCAAACCACAATCATTCCAGAGCATTAATGTGCTGGAGCTCTGGCTCTTCTGCAGTGGAACCCAATGCATTTTGGGGAACAGCGTACCTTGTAGTTTCCGGGTGAGTTCCAGTTTCTCTCGTTCCAGGAAGCGGATCCGTTTCTCAAGCTGTGCCACATTGGAAGTGTTCTCAGGAAGGAGGCTTCGGGGAGAGCAGAAAGTGGAAGACATTGCATTGCTATTTTTATATTGATGTTATTATTATTATTAATAATAATAATAATAATATTAGTAATATTACTATTATTAACATTATTATGTTAATTTATACCCTGTTTTCTCTCCACAAGGACACTCAAAGAGACTATGGTCATCATCATCATCATCATCATCATCATCATGGAAAAAGTTAGGGTATAAAAATATATTGAAAATATATATTAGTGTCCCTACTTTTCGGATTTTTACTTATCGCGGGAGATCCTGGAACGGAACCCGCACAATAAGTGTATTGCTTTTGCTTGTCCCAAGAACCCTGATGACCTCGTCGAAACGAATCCAACAAAACTGGACAAACAGATGCTTGTGTTACATCCTCAGAGACTGCTGTTAATGTGGTGTCAAGGCCCGAACGATCAAAGCGACTTTGTGCGCAAAGTACTGAGCAAAAGCTTCACAGCAGGCCGCTGAGTCGTCAGGGGACCCATCTTGAAAAGTGGGGTTCAACAGCCCTCTGACTACTCGAAACAGTCGTCAGGGGACCCATCTTGAAAAGTGGGGTTCAACAGCCCTCTGACTACTCGAAACAGCTCTGCCGGATGGTTCCTTGCAGACGCAATATTGGCCGAATAGAAAGAATTTGGTGCGGCCTCTATTGCCGCTCCATACGCCATACGCCCTTAGATAGAGGCATAGGCGTGTTCGATTTGGCTCGTTGGGTTCTTTCCGCCACACGCTCTCTAGCCACCTCTTTGTTCACTTCATCTCCACCAACTACTTGTTAAACCAAGGAGATGGTTTAGCTCGGCGACTCAAGAGGGGGCGCTTCGGAGCAATTGTGTCTATTACCCTGAACCCCACCAACCCACTATTCCAGTGGGCGACCAGGGCATCGACAGAATCACCATCCAAGGTAACGGAGACATCCCCAAGAGCCATCAGGAATCCCTCTGGATCCATAAGCCTCCTGGGGCGGACCATCTTAATGGGTCCACCACCCCTGCGGAGGTTAGAAGTTGCAGAAAGTCTAAACCTGATCAGGGGGTGGTCAGTCCACGGCAAAGGAGAGATTGACAACTCCTCCACACCGCCACCTTCTTCCCAACCCTGACAAAAGACCAAGTCAAGTGTGTGTCCAGCACAGTGGGTAGGGCCAGATACTAGCTGGGACAGCCCCATAGTTGCCATGGAGGCCATGAAGTCCTGAGCCGCTCCTGAAAGAGTGGTCTCTGCATGGACATTGAAGTCCCCCAGCACTATAGGCCGCTGGGACTCCAATGCCAGGCCCGAGACCAACTCTGCAAGCTCAGGTAGGGCGGCCGAGGTGCAGCGGGGTGGTCGGTACACCAACAACAGCCCTATTCTGCCCCGGTCTCCTAACCTCAGGTGGATACATTCAAACAAGGTCGACTGTAGGGCAGGGCATCTGATCAAGGAGATCGAATATTGCAACTCCGCCTCCCCGCCCCCCGGATCTCGGTTGGTGCTGCACAGCATAACCTGGTGGGCAAAGCTGGGTGAGATTAACCCCTCCAGCCTCGTCCAACCAGGTCTCCGTGATGCACGCCAGGTCTGCCTTTTCATCGAGTATTAAATCTTGAATGGTTGATGTTTTACCATTGACAGACCTGGCGTTCAACAGCACCACCTTCAATCCAGGAGGTCCGTCTACCTTGGAACCCAAGTTTACCATGTCGGGAGCACATTTTGGAATTTTCCTCAAGGTTTGTTCACGAATTGGCCGAATTGATTTTTTAACTCTCCCTTTCCCGTATCTCCCCCTCCCCCTCATCACCTCTATGGGGGCCCCCCGAGAACTGAAGCTCCCCCCTCCCTCCCACCCCCATTCTCCACATCCTGACAATCTAGTATTGCACTGTTATATGGCATATCATTAACCCAGCCTGTTGCCAATCCATCGTTTTCATCACTCTTATAATTCCACTCCTCCGCTACACAGAACCATCTCCAGTTCTCCCCCGCCATTCGACCATTATTGAAGATGATTATAAAGTGCACGGAGTAAAGTGAAAAGGCAAACTTAAAACGACAGTCCAAAAGCAACATTGGGATTGATAATCAACAGATGTTCCTCCGTTAATTAGGTGCTAACAAGTCGTTTATCACAGTAGCATAATGAGGAGTTCAGTTACAATGGCCTTCATTTACAGTGCAATATTATTAAAGAACGATATTAGCAAAGGAACTGAATCCGCCCCGGATTTTAGTCCGAACTTTAACAGAGCCATCTAAGCGTATTTTGGCCTCTAGGAGGGTCAGGTGGCTGCTTTAAAGTTCAGACTAAAGCCCAGAGCGGATCGCTCACCTTGGAGTCACAAACAAGACCTGGGTCTCCATATCTCCCGAAACATAGAAAACAATCAATTTCCAATAATTTGGTAACGGAGACGAAAATGTTCTTTCGACCTACCTTCCGGAGGTGAAGGTAAACCCAATGAAGGGCAAGTGGTGGCCGGAGAAAGCGGCGTGAGAGACCGGAGGAAGGGTCTCCTGGAAACAGGAAAAAAGGGTTTAGGTGTATATGCATATGTGTATATGTGTACTTATACATATGTATGTGTATATGTGCATATGTATATGTATATGTCTATGTATACATGTGTCTCTGTGTGTACATCTGTGCATGTATACATGCATATGTGTGTATATGTGTATCTATACAGATACAGATGCATGTGTGTATGTGCATATGTATACATGTGTGTATGTGTGTATATATATCTATGTGTGTGTATATATCTGTGCAAGTATACATGCATATGTGTGTATGTGTATATGTGTATCTATACATATACAGATGCATGTGTGTATGTGTATATATGTTTGTGAATGTATATATGTATACATGTGTATATGTGTGTATATATATCTCTGTGTGTACATCTGTGTATGTATACATGCATATGTGTGTATATGTACATGTGTATCTATACAGATACAGATGCATGTGTGTATGTGCATATGTATACATGTGTGTATGTGTGTATATATATCTATGTGTGTGTATATATCTGTGCAAGTATACATGCATATGTGTGTATGTGTATATGTGTATCTATACATATACAGATGCATGTGTGTATGTGTATATATGTTTGTGAATGTATATATGTATACATGTGTATATGTGTGTATATATATCTCTGTGTGTACATCTATGTATACATGCATATGTGTGTATATGTACATGTGTATCTATACAGATACAGATGCATGTGTGTATGTGTATATATGTTTGTGTATGCATATATGTATACATGTGTATATGTGTATATCTGTATCAATACCTATGTATGTGTGCATATACATGCATGTGTGTATGTGTATATGTATATATGTTCATGTATATGTGTGTATATATGTGTGTGTATGTATACACTTGTAGATGTATATATCTGTATCTATATATATGTATGTATACATGCACTTGTGTATGTTTGTGTATATATATATATGGATATGCGTATATGTTTACATTTGTATATGTGTATATCTGTATCTATGTGTATGTATACATGCATTTGTGTATTTATACATATATTTGGATATGCGTATATGTATACATGTGTATAAGTGTATATCTATCTATATGTGTATGTGTACATATGTGTATATATGTGTGTGTGCACATTTCTTTGTGTATTGTGTCTGTATGTGTGTATATTCTGGATTTCATCCTGAACTGGACAGGAGCTACCAAAGGCACTGGATTCAAAACCTTGGATAGCCTAGTCATTAAAAGTTCGGACTACAACCCAAGGTGGCGCGAGGGCTCACCGATTCCTTGAGGGAGTCGTCATCCACGTCGAAGTTGGAGGTGTCGGCGGGGCTGGCCACTTCCGGCAGGTAAGGTGGGGGGCTGTGCCGGAGGTTCTCCCAGTCGATGCCCTTGAAGAAGGGGTGCCGCTGGAAGTCCTGGATGCCCTTCTGGCCCAGGCGCAGCTCCTGCCGGCACAGCAGGCTCCGGATCAGGGACTTGGCCTCCTCCGAGACGTCGGTGATCTCCGCTGGGAACTGGAGGTGGTCCTGGAGAAGAGAAGTCCAGGAGAGTTTGACGGGACAGAGACTTTCATCTATGCCGACGATCGCGCCATCACCACCCAAYCAGGGAGCTTGGAAATGGGCGAACAGAAGCTCTCCAAAGCTTTAGTTCAGTGTTTCTCAATCTTCCCAATGCCTCTTAATACAGTTCCTCATGTTTAACATTTTCACAAATYATCAGCCACTGCCAGAAGSGACAGAAAGTTTCARGTATGCTGACGATTGKGCCATCACCACCCAAGCAGGGAGCTTTGAAATGGCCAAACAGAAGCTCTCCAAAGCTTTAGGGCAGTGTTTCTCAACCTTCCTAATGCTTCTTAATGCAGTTCCTCATGCTTAACATTTACACAAATGATCAGCCACTGCCAGAAGGGACAGAGTTTCATCTATGCTGATGACAGTGCCATCAATGCTCAAGCAGAGAGCTTTGAAATGGCTGAACAGAAGCTCTCCAAAGCTTTAGGTGCGCTTACTGCCTATTACAGGGAAAACCAACTGATACCTAATCAGGCATGTGTGTTTCATCTTTAAAAATGTATAATATCATAAAGGATTACCACCTCACCCACTTCATTGGAAACCTTCTACAAAACAGGAGCTTTTTGTTGACTTCCAGGGTCAGAGAAGCAGATGGCAGAAACAGAAGAACAGCCTGCCTCAGGGGAGCGTGCTTGCTCCATCTATGTCTAACATTTACACACATGACCAGTCACTGCCAGAAGGGACAGAAAGTTTCATCTATGCCGACGATCGCGCCATCACCACCCAAGCAGGGAGCTTTGAAATGGTCAAACAGAAGCTCTCCAAAGCTTTCAGTCAGTGTTTCTCAACCTTCCTAATGCCTCTTAATACAGTTCCTCATGTTTAACATTTACACAAATGATCAGCCACTGCCAGAAGGGACAGAGAGTTTCATCTACGCTGACGATCATGCCATCACCACCCAAGCAGGGAGCTTTGAAATAGTTGAACAGAAGCTCTCTGGAGCTCTAGGTGTTCTTACTGCCTATTACAGGGAAAACCAACTGATTCCTAATCCATCTATGCTGATGATTGCGCCATCACTGCCCAAGCAGGGAGCTTTGAAATGGCTGAACAGAAGCTCTCTGAATCTTTAGGTGCTCTTACTGCCTATTACAGGGAAAACCAGCTTGCTCCATCCATGTTCAACACTGACACAAACAATCAGCTACTGCCAGATGGGACAGAGAGTTTCATCTATGCTGACGATCGTGCCATCACCGCTCAAGCAGGGAGCGTTGAAATAGTTGAACAGAAGCTCTCCGAAGCTTTAGGTGTTCTTTATAGCAGAAGGGGGCAGGACTGGATGGCCCTTGGGGCGCTTCCAACTCTATGATTCAACAACAACAATAGTAATAATAATAATAAGAAGAAGAAGAAGTAATTATGGTGTCTCCTGGAGCCCCCGGAAGCACAGTGGGTTAAACCCTTGTGCCGGAGGGACTGAAAACCGACAGGTCGCAGGTTCAAATCCAGGGAGAATGTGGATGAGCTCCCTCTGTCAGCTCCAGCTCCCCACGCGGGGACATGAGAGAAGTTTCCCACAAGGATGGGAAAACATCAAAACATCCAAGTATCCCCTGGGTAATGTCAGATGGCCAATTCTCTCACACCGGAAGTGACTTGCAGTTTCTGCAGTCACTCCTGTCACAAAACAAAAGGTACATCCTGTCCCTCCCGACTTACTTCGTGGTTCATGATCTTGCCATAGGTCTCCACCAAGGACTCGGCGTAGAAGGGGGTCTCGCCAAAGAGCAGTTCGTACATGCAGACCCCCAGCGACCACCAGTCGCACTCCGGCCCGTACTTCCCTTTCCGGTCCTCCATGGCTTGCAGGATTTCCGGGGAGATGTAGTCCGGGGTGCCCACCGCCACCGGAGACACCACCTGAGCGGGAAGAGAGCCATTTCATAAGTAATATCTATATAAATAAAAATGTAATGTTTGTCTGTGGGATTAGCATAACTCAAAAACCACTGGACGAACTGACACCAAATTTGGACACAAGACACCTCTCAGGCCAACGAGTGACCATCACTCATAAAAACACTGAAAAACACAGCAGAAAAGACTTAAAAAGCAAAAAAAAACCCCAAAAATTACAACGCATGCACAAAACCACATATATATACACAAACACACATATATACACACATATATGCATATACACAGAAAGGGGGAAGGAAGGAAGGAAGGAGAGAGAGATGGAAGAAAGAAAGAAAGGGTAGAGAAGGAAGGAGGAGGAGGGAAAGAAGGAGGGAAAGAAGGAGGAAAGGAAAGAAAGAAGGGTAGAGAAGGAAGAGAAGGAGAGAAGCTGGGAGAGGAGGGAGAGAGGAGGGAAAGAAGGAAAGAGGAAGAAGAGAAGAAGAGGAGAGAAGAGGGAAAGAGGAGGAGGAGAGAAAGAAGAAGAAAGAAGGATAGAGAAGAAGGAGAGAAGAGGAAAGAAGGAGGGAAGAAGGAGGAAAGAAAGAAAGAAGGAAGGAGAAGGAAAAAAGGAGAGAAGGGAAGGAGAGGAGAGAAGAGGGAACGAAGGAGGGTAGGAGAGAAGAAGAAAGATAGAGAAGGAAGGGAGAGAAAGAAGGAGAAAGGGAAAGAGAGGAAGAGAGAAAAGGAAGAAGGAGAAGAAAGGAGGGAAAGAAGGAAAGGAAAGAAAGAAGGATAGAGAAGGAAGAGAAGGAGAGAAGCTGGGAGAGGAGGGAGAGATAGAGGGAAAGAAGGAGGGAAGGAGAGAAAGAAGGAGAGAAGGAGGGAGAGAAAGAGGGGGAGATAGAGGGAAAGAAGGAGGGAAGGAGAGAAAGAAGGAAAGGAAGGAAGATAGAGAAGGAAGGGAAGGGAAGGGGGAGAGAAGGAGGGAAAAAAGGAGGGAAGGAAAAAAAGAAGGGTAGAGAAGGAAGAGGAGAGAAGGAGGGAGAGAAAGAGGGAAAGAAAGAGGGAAAGAAGGAGAGAAAGGAGGTTAGAGAAGGAAGAGAAGGGGAGAAGGTGGGAGAGGAGGGAGAGATAGAGGGAAAGAAGGAGGGAAGGAGAGAAAGAGGGAGAGATAGAGGGAAAGATGGAGGGAAGGAGAGAAAGAAGAAGGAAGATAGAGAAGGAAGGAAGGAGAGAAGGAGAAAGACGGAGGGAAGGAGAGAAAGAAGGAAAGAAGGAAGATAGAGAAGGAAGGAAGGAAGGAAGGAAGGAGAGAAGGAGGGAGAGAAAGAGGGAAAGAATCAAGCATACCCTCATAAAGCTGGAAAAGCTGGCATGTTCAATTGCCTCTGTGTCAGTCTATATACGTTGTATGTCTAAATGTCATTGAATGTTTGCCATGTATATGTGCATTGTAATCCGCCATGAGTCCCTTACGGGTTGAGACGGAATATAAATACCGTAAAATAAATAAAAAAATAAAACAACATAATAGACTCACCGTTCCATCCGGACGCAGGTGGAGGCAGGATCCGAAATCAGCCAGACGGATGTGACCGTTTGTGTCGATGAGGATGTTGTCCGGTTTGATGTCCCTATAGAGTTGGGAGCAACACAGATTAGCCATAAGGGTGCCATAATGAGATTGGGAAATCTGACACAAAATTCTGCAAATGAGAGAGAACATGAAAATAGCTCAGCTCCTGGCCCAGCTGCAGAAATTAATGAGCAAGTAGATAACGAGCAAAGAGATAGATGAGAAGAGATCAGTCAAAACAGGAGAGCCGAGAAGTGGCTTCGGCGCTCTGCCAGGTTCCGACAGAAAATTGACACAAAATTCTGCAAATGAAAGAGAACATGAAAATAGCTCAGCGCCTGGCCCAGCTGCAGAAATTAATAAGTCTCAGCTAAAGAGAAACCAGTTTCTGACTGCTAGTGACCTAGTTAACGAGGGGATATAAGTCTCAAGTTTAGGATGTGTAGTCAGATGAAGTATAGTTTAGAATTCTGCTAAGTTCTCGTCCTTCTTTCATGGAAGCCTTGCTTTGAAGATTAATGCTAAGCAGAGGCGGCCCTAGGTAATTTTCAACGGTAAGCAAACAGTATTTTGGCGCACCCCCCCCCATCATTGATATATATTTCGCCCCCCCCCCCGCCCACCTCCCCCTGTCTCATTCCTATCCAGCAGGCTGTGGCTTCCCCGCCCCCCACCCTCCTCGTTTCCTCCCCCCACCCCCCTCCTCTCCGCGCCTTCGCTCACGCCCCGCCGCGCCCCCCCCCGCCTCCCTGTCCCTCACTTCCCACCTCCCACGCTAGCACCCACCGCGGGCTCCCACTCGATGACTCCCCCCCCCCCCCCCCCCCCCAACCAATCATTGATATATATTTTCTGTTCGTCGTGGGAGTTCTGTGTGCCATATTTGGTTCAATTCCATCATTGGTGGAGTTCAGAATGCTCTTTGACTGTAGGTGAACTATACATCCCAGTAACTACACTTGCCGCACTTGCTCCCTTGCCTGGCCCGCTTTGGGTCCGGAGGCGTGCCTGAAGACCCCGGCGTGTGCACCAAAAGTCACCTCTTCTCCTGACTTTCTCCTCAGCCATTGGGACCAAGAGAGAGAGAGAGAGAGAGAGGTGGAGATGCCCACCTTTCCCTGAAGGTAGGCGCAAAAACAAAGGAGGGAGCGGAGGTGGGAGATACCTCCAGCCGGAGGGGCTCTCTCTCTCTCTCTCTCTCTCTCTCTTGGTCCCAATGGCTGAAGAGAAAGTCAGGAGAAGAGGCGACTTTTGGTGTGCACCCTGGGGTCTTCAGACACGCCTCCGGGCCCGAAGCGGGCCAGGCGCGGTGGCTCCGCCCCTTGGCCCACCCAGATTGGGGAGAGGAGAGGAGGCGGGTGGAGCGCTGGGGGATCAGGAAAGGGAGCCGGTCATGGGGAAGGGATCGAACGCGGAGAACGATTGAGCGCCGGCTCTGCTCGCGCACCCGATGGCCGGGTGGAGCAGGAACGAGAGGGGCTAGGCGAGGCTCAAGGGCCCGGCCCCTTTGGGAAGAGGATCGCCGGCAGCGAGGCAAGAAAGCCGAGGCTCCCCCCCGGACTGCTAGGGCTGTTGTGAGCTGAGGGCGCGCTCCTCAAGTGGCGGTCGAGGGGCATTTACAGAGGCGCCTCTGCACCCCTGGCAAAAAAAAAGTGTTCTGCGACCGCTTACTTCGCGTAATGGACGAGCCGCCCCTGATTCTAAGACACTTCTTGTGTAATGGTTTTGATTCCTGGATTTTATGATTGCTTACTAGGCTTGGGCAATCAAGAAAAAAATTGGTTCAAAACTCGTTTCGTTTCTAGGGTGCGCTAGCGTTTCAAAATTTGAATA